CAATAACACATGCCTGCTAGGAACAAAAATTCCTGATGACTGGCTCCACAGCTACCTCAGACCGGTTCCTAAGCCTGGAAAAGACCACACAAGAATAAATGGCTTCAGAATCATCACACTCCAGAACACTGTAGGAAAACTCATGGAAACATTGCTGAACGTTGACCAAAACATTGGAGTCAGGTGGCCTATTCCCCGCTACACTAGGGGGGTACCGACCAGGAAGAGAGACATGGTGCAATGCTGCACATTTGAGGGTTTCCATGAGGGAATGGAAACGGCTGCAGCTGCTATTGCGTCCCATACAACATGCTCATCAGACTGCTGTTGGATATGCAGATAGAAACAAAATTCGTCAACTGGATCGCAGCAGCGCTATTTAAAAGAAAAGTGTTGCTTCGATGTGGTGAATGGGCATCCGAACCTCAACGCGTCCTAATGGGTCTGCCCCAGGTATCACCATTGTCGCCTGTGCTCTTCAATGTGTACACGGCAGGAGTCACGAGTGCACAAAGCGTAGGCCTAGGCAGAACAATGTCGTATGCAGATGATATCCTTGTTTACCGTCGAGGTAAAAACAAGCAGGAAATTACAACCACACTACAACACGAACTAGACAGACTTAGTGAGTGGTGTCAGGAATCAAGAGCTCAGGTGAATCCATCCAAAGCCTCCTTAACATGGTTCTCTCTGAATACCCACATCGTTAGTACACCAACGCCAGTCGTAAGCATCTGTGGTGTGGACATCGAGAGAACGGACACGATGAAATACCTGGGCATGACATTTGACTGATTCTTGTCATACAAATGCCACATAGACAACGTCATACTTAGAGCCAGGAAAGGTCTGACAGCACTCAAGGTGCTAGCAGCAGCTGATATTGAATAACACTTACTTTTCCTTCTCTATCAAGGGCTTGTGCTTAGCGTCATTGACTATGGTCTTGCCCTCCTCACTGTCAGCAAAACCCAGCTAGAAAGACTGGACTGAGTACAAAATGAGGCCATGAGACTCATACTCGGCTGCACAAAAGACACCTCCTGCAACGCCATGCGTTATGTCCTGGGTTTGCCGACGATGACTAGCAGATACAAAGTGGCACAAGTCAAAGGCTTACATGAGGGTATCGGCAGACGTTAACCACCCATTGCACAAAGCTATACACGACACACAAGGAACGCGTCTCAAAAGAGGCTGATTTTGGATGGCAAAGGCTGAGGATTTAATCCAGCAGGTATGTGACCTAGACGTGATCAGTCACAGAAAAGAATGGACGAATACACCAGTAGACATGCATGGCATCTCTAAGGTTGTCATCACACTCGGAAGGTACTGCAGGGATCAAATTCCTGCGGCCGTAGACACAGAAGTAAGGGAACTGATAGATCAGCATTCAGACCCAGAAGATATCATTATCTACACAGATGGATCCGTGAAGCACGGATCAAGGTCAGCATGGGCATACACAGCGCAAAGAAGGGGGAAAACAATACATGAGGACAGCAGCGCTTACCAGACAACCACGTCAAGCATGACAATGGAAATAGCCGCTGCTTCTAGAGCTTTAGCGTGGGTATCCGAGCAAACCACCACACAGGCAGTAATTGTCTCAGACTCAATGACTATGCTTCAGAAGATAGCAACAGGCAGTATGCGCTCTGAATGTATAGAAAGCATTCGGAAATCGCACTTAACCTCCGTAACCTGGATCTACACACCTTGTCATGCGGGCGTAAAGGGATATGAGCTAGCGGACCAACTGGCAAGCACTGCACTAATGATTGCGGGGAAAAGCATGGACAGAGCAGATATCGTCAACGCTGTACGAAATGGGCTAGTGGAGAATGAGGAATCCCTGACACTAACACGATTGCGTGACATGGGAGTTAAGCATGGTGATGCACGTCTTTGCCGTCTTCGGGACCGAGAAAGGAGACGATATAACCAGCTTCTCATGGGGACAATTAGTAGAAGTACTTTGGAGTGGCTGCTGCTTCGGAGAACTGAGCACGCGTGGGTATGTCCAATGTGCAGTGACATCAAGTGTGATAACAAAACATAAAATAACATCTTGTAGGGAGTCGGCAGTCCGTAACCCAAGTTCAAGGTGTCTCCTTCGTGCCAAGGAACTGCATGGCTGTTGGGTGAACAGTTGTTAACAAAGGCAGGCAGGTCATTGTTGGGGCGACGCCTGCTGGTGGATGTAACGTCCTAAGTCCGTTCCCCAGCTAATAATGAGGGTACTGCTGGGGTGACCGTTTATTAACCCTCATATAATGCTTTAGGTCAAAATGGACCCTAGGCACGGCCACCTTTATTTTTTATTTTATTTTTTTTAAATAATTTTCCTGCCAGACGGTGGCCGTTGCATTTTTGCTCCATTTGTAGACTGGAAGGATATAGTTTCGTCGCCCAGCTTCTGAGTTGAGTGCATGGCATGACACTGTGAGCTACGTGTGTTTTTCGTTGGCACAGCAGCGGAGCAACTATGGGGTGACCCGTTTGCTATGAAGCTGAAACTAGGATTACCAGATTACCAGATAGGATCAAAATTTTGTTCATGATCACCAAATGCTCTTCTTAAGCAATTTCTTGCTGTATATCAAAGCAAAAAAGCTACACTGTCAGACAGCTCCTTATACTCGGGTGAAGAGGGTGACTGGAATCATACAAACAAGACAGTTATAAATTTGTTTGCAATCATACAAACAGGACAGTTATAAATTTGTTTGGAATCATACAAACAGGACAGTTATAAATTCGTTATGGTTCATTTTGAAAATTTGTTGATGTATTGAATTTTGAAAAATATTTGAAGTATTGAATTTTTTGTGTAAAAGAGTTTGATATATTCGTTTTTATGTATTACCTATACAATTTATCTGCTTGTCATGCAAAATGTAACCTTGTTTAACTCATTATCTGTTTATTGGTTTTTGTTTTGTTTTTTATGTTCTCCTTGTTTGTTTGTTATGATTACACAGATGCAATGATTTTGGGTATGATATTCTGCCATGTTGTATAATCAGATACTTAACTGTTTGGTGTTTTTTTTTCTTCTTCTTAAAATAGAAAAAAAGCAATTGTTTTCAAAATATAAAATGTTTTAAAATCTGTCGTTGTGAAATTGTTCTGGAAAGTAAAAGGGGACTTTCATGTTATTATTTTTTCTGCACTATTGTTTGTATTTGTATCTTTGTCTGTCTGCTTCAAATGCTGATGAAGGTTTTTTGAGCCACCGTGTTCATTTTGTCATTCATGATTGTGGTATTGTGTAGCTAACTATGAGTAGTTCTGCTTCTAATCTAGGCTAATGTATTTTTTGTTGTTGCTGTATTTTTTTTTTTTTTTTTTTGAGGTCATATTTGTTGTATGCTGAAAAGGGGTGGCAGCATACAAACATATAGTCAAGTGTCTAGGTTATGATTTGCGCTTGAACTCTGGAATACTTGCACAATCAACAACGGTTGTCCGTCATACATTTATTTCACAAGAATGTTCAGATCTACCAACTCGCACACAATAAATGGCAATGTAGCAATCTCTTCTGTGTCTATACACTGGCTAATATGGAATTAACCCTTCAAGGTCCACATAATCCAAAACAGTCCTGCGGTGCTCCATAGTACCGCATACACTCGCTGTCAATCAGACTCTCAAGCTCACAGCTCCAGTGCCTCAGTCGCTGGCCAACCCGCTAGCAGTAATAATGAACACACAAAATATTTATAAATGGGGTTTTCCTATACTTGGGGAAATAGGGTATTTTACTTTCATAAAGTGCACACTATGGAAATTGAAAAGTTAGTTACATTATTTTTCACAAGACATTGTAAACCAGCCATAGAATTACTCGGATGTTTGTGGTTTTACTAGACATTTTACATTGACTAATTTGTCATTACATTTGAACTGTTTTGTGCTCTTACCATTAGTAAAATCGGTGTAAAGTATTGTGGATGTATCCCATGCAGCCGAATTAAAGCCAGTGATACCAGGATTATAAAATTGCATTCATAACTCATAAACCACAGATGTAGACAGAATTTTGATTTCGGTTAACCTGAATGAGCTTATGAGCTGTGGCAAAGGAAGGGGGTTGCAGGGGATGTGAGTTGCCCTGGATGTCATCACTGGGGGGGGGGGGGGGGGGGGGAGAAGGTGGATTGGGGGTGGGGGGGGGGGACAAAATGCCAAAAAGTAGGGGCCATTTGTCTTGTAACCTGTCAGTATTGTTGTTAGGATGACAAGAGTGTTAAGCACATAACATTTTAGTGTAGATGAACACTGTGATGTCATAATGACAGTTTACAGATGACCACCCCACTTTTGACATGCACCAAAGAGGAGCAGCGTTTTGTTATCCATTTGTTTTTCTTTACCATTGAAGGGGTGAAACCTATAGAAATCCATCAGCGAATTAAGGTCCAGTATGATGAGGCATGCCTGCCAGTCTACAATTGTATGAGTAGAGTAGAAAATTTCAAATCATCGTGGCTTCTGTAACCGACTGTGAGTTATGAGTTAGATTATCTTCACAAAACTCTGGACACATCCATAGGCGCTCAGATTCCTCTCTCAACATATTCATCAGCGCCGCCCGGTTAATAGTGCCAGTCCTATCAGACTGTTCACAACTAGGTCAGGCAAACCAAGTCTTTCACAGAAGGCACCAACATTTCATAACTGCCTACAAGTATTTTTTCCTTATCTTCATATACCAAAAAAATATGTCATTTTCTTGTATCTTTAATAAAAAATAGAAGCTTTATAAACCTGTTCTATCAGTGACATATGATCTCATATACCTTGGCTGATTTGAATATAACAGTGCAACTGGGACAGAAAAAGATGGTCAACTGGCATCAGCTGTCACCTTATCTAATGTTAATGAGGATGAATCCGAGGAAACTGATGAAGGAGATGATGCTAGTCCAGATGAGGAGGATTTCCGAATAATGGACTCTGAGGAGAATGAAAATACACCAGAATCAAAAATGTCGGTAGCAGCACAGTAAGTTGCTCCTACATGATGTTGCCAGCATTCACATTCTGGTTTAAGTTTTGTTTCATTGTTGTTTTTTTTTGTTGTTGCTTTTTTCTTCTTTTGTTGATTGTTTTGAAATAGTTGATTTTTTAATGTGATAATTTTTTATTTTCGGGAACAGAGAGTACAGTTTAGGACAGGGAAATAAGCATAGAATTATGTATTTATGATGTGTGATCACATTTATCATGTAGGAGCACATTTATAATGTTTTTACTGTCAATTGAATACTCACTTGATTTTCATGAAACCACCCATGCCTAGGAAACCACTCTTTATTGCAAAATAAGTGTGTGTGTGTGTGTGTTTTTGTTTTTTTCCCCTTAGGGGGGCTGCGTAGTATTGAAGCATGGCATCAGCCTTGGGTGCCGGAGGTCCCAGGTTCAGGCCCCTGTGAAAGATGGAATTTTTTTCACGTTGACTTCTAGTAATTTCTTCTGGTCTCTGGGTAGCAAGATCGGACGCCCATGTGTATTGGTAGTTGGAAATTAAAAAGAGTAGCATAAAGTGCTGCCCGTGCAAAATTTTGATTTAAAAAATCTACCTGAAATATTTCAGGATCATTGCCGGTGGTACTGAGTTCATGCACTGTGCTGAGATTCTTCAGACTCAGACTCGAGTTAGAAGTAGAACGGAGCACTTATGGGTTACTACCCTTGTACCATGACGTTGATCTGTTGTTTAAACCTAAACCTCAACATTAAACCTCTTCTTCCCTAAGAATTTAGATTTGATCTCACTAGAGAATGCAGTTGGAACTGGCAAGTTAGCAATAAAATAAAATATTCATATTTGATGTGTGTTCAAATTTGCCTGGTGCTAAAATTTTTTTTTAAATATGAACGGCTCCCACGATGATCTAACTTTAAATGGGTACTAAGTAAGTTTTAGGAAGTATAGGTGGCCGGCGGGATGTTGAACTCTTACCTATTGAGGGTCAGTTAGTCAATACAAATATGAGTCTGGTCTCAAATTCCCGATGTTACACTGGTCTGTAAAGGGACCCTTACTTTACTTTACATATTTGATGATATCCTTGATGTTTTTACTTTACTTTACATATTTGATGCCATCCTTGATGTTTTTACTTTACTTTACATATTTGATGACATACTTGATGTTTTTACTTTACATATTTGATGACATCCTTGATGTTTTTACTTTACATATTTGATGATTTCCTTTATGTTTTTACTTTACTTTGCATATTTGATGCCATCCTTGATGTTTTTACTTTACTTTGCATATTTGATGCCATCCTTGATGTTTTTACTTTACTTTACATATTTTATGACATCCTTGATGTTTTTACTTTAATTTACATATTTGATGACATCCTTTATGTTTTTACTTTACATATTTGATGACATCCTTTATGTTTTTACTTTACATATTTGATGACATCCTTGATGTTTTTTACTTTTCACATAAGTTCTAAGTTGTTATCAGTCCAGCAATAAAGGTTACCCTTTTTTTGCAAATATTTATATATATATATTTTTTTGGGGTTTCAAAATATTCTGGGTTTCTTTAAGAGTGCAGTGTAACATGAAAATGTAACCCCCAAAAAATATGTTTCATTTTTTTTTACATCTTTAAATGTTTCTACTGTCAACTGAGCTCTCAGTTAATGTTATCAGTCCAGTTGCACTTGACTTTCAAGTATTCAGTTAACTGTATCAGGCAGGGCACCACAGAGAGCGGTGCTATACAGATGCGATGATAACAGAGCCAGAGGTCAACCACGCAGAAGATGGACCACAGAGATATCAGAGACACTGAAAAGTACTTTATACGAAGCAAACAGAAGGACAGAGATCTCTTCATGCCCTGACCAGTGAGGCATTCCAGGAGTAGAGAAAAGAAGGAGTAGTGAACTATATTCATATGGATATGAAGAAAGTGTGTCTAGCATAATGAAACACACATAAAAATGTCATTAAAGTTACATGCCATAGATGCAGACATCCTTTTCTTTAACCCAGTCAGTACCAAATAATTCACTATGAGTTCATTAATTTCTGCTTATACTGTCTTATTTTTGTGGCTGCGTGTGTCTTATTTAGTTGTTATGTTAATTCCTTTTCATTCCATTTGTTAAATTAGGGTATACTTTCTAGAAAAATAATTTTTTTTTTTACACTCTTCTGGACACAGCTATTATTAAATGGGTAAAAAAATGTTTCGGTAATCAGGGCATAATTCTTTCATCAATCAGACTAGAGTTCTTGCATCAAGAAGATTATAATTCTTTCATCAGCATGGACAGATTTCCTTCATCAGTCATGCAAAATTATTTTTATCAGTTGAATAAACGTTCTTACAGCATCCAGGACATAGTTTTTTTCACAAATCATGAAAGAATTCTTACATAAACCAGAAGAGAACTCTGTCACTGATCAAGACTAAGGATTCTTTCATCAACCAAGATAGAATTCTTTCGTCAACCAGGATAGAATTCTTTCATCAACCAAGATAGAATTCTTTCATCAACCAGGATAGAATTCTTTCATCAACCAGGATAGAATTCTTTCATCAACCAGGATAGAATTCTTTCGTCAACCAGGATAGAATTCTTTCATCAACCAAGATAGAATTCTTTCGTCAACCAGGATAGAATTCTTTCATCAACCAAGATAGAATTCTTTCATCAACCAGGATAGAATTCTTTCATCAACCAAGATAGAATTCTTTCATCAACCAGGATATAATTCTTTCATCAACCAGGATACAATTCTTTCATCAACCAGGATAGAATTCTCTCATCAACCAAGATAGAATTCTTTCATCAACCAGGATAGAATTCTTTCATCAACCAGTACCGTTCTTTCATCTTCCAGGACATTGTTCTGTCATCAACCAGAAAAGAATTCTTATGTCAGCTAGGAGAGAATTCTGCCATCAACCAGGATATAATTCTTTCATCAAATGGGACAGAATTCTTTCATCAATCAGGACGGAATTATTTCATCAGATAGAACAGAATTCTTTCATCAGCCAGGACAGAATTATTTCATCAGCCAATACAGAATTCTTTTTTCAAATAGGACATAACTCTTTCATCAACAAGGGCTAGTGCAAAATTCTTTCATCGGCCAGAACAGAATTCTTTCATCAGCCGGGACAGAATTCTTTCATCAGCCAGAACAGAATTCTTTCATCAGCCTGGACAGAATTCTTTCATCAGCCAGAACAGAATTCTTCTATCAGCTGGGACAGAATTCTTTCATCAGCCAGAACAGAATTCTTTTATCAGCTGGGACAGAATTCCGTCATCAACCCGGACAGAATTCTTTCATCAGTCTGGACAGAATTCTTTTATCAGCCCGGACAGAATTCTTTCATCAGCTAGGACATAATTTTTTGTATGCACAACCAGGATAGAGCTGCCATCATAACCTGATACATTACTATGGCCAGAACACTTTCAGCTTTTATTAGACGCTTATTTATTGTATGAAGTAACTATGTAGTAGCTGATGAGTTGTCTTGCTAAAAAAAAATGCAATAGAAAAAATATGTGATTGTAAACATTGTTTCTTTTGTATTGCTGTCAGTTTTTTTTTTTTTTTATTGCTGTTGTTAGTGTCAAATATATTTCTCTTCTTGAGGTGTAAAGGCCACTTATGTTATCATAAATCGACATCACTACAGACTGGGCATTCCCATGTGTGCACAAGTCTTCAAAGCAGCAGCCATGCCAGGGTACCTCTAAAAAGGGCACTTGCTTAAGCATGCATCATATACTATACATTATCATGCTAATTCAAAATTGTGCTCTTAACTCTTTCAGTACCAGCCAATGCACCATACGTCTCATGAATATTTTAGAAATAACAAGATATATTTTATGTCTTGTATCACAGACATATGTTATGTTAACCCCTTTGTATTTCAATCAATAGTTTGATTACATCAGTCATAAACTGACCCTTCAGAACTTCCCCCAAACCCCAGTGTTTTTTGATTTTAATATCACTTCCGTGTGGTGGAAAGAGTTGAAATAACAACTGTCTGGGACTCAAAGAATTAATTGAATACATGTCTCAAGATGTGTCATGCAGACATGGGTTTCTTGGTAACTTGATTCCTCAGCCACTTTGCTTCTATGAGTTTAGTGCAGATTGTTAATTATTCTGTTTTTTATGTTATTGCATATAATGGAAATTTGTTGGCTTATTTTATCCAACAGCCCTCAGAGGATAATGCTGTAAGTCTCATATTAGCTTCCTTATCCTAAGAAGAAGCAATAGCAACCTGAAAATGTAATGTTATTTACAGGGCTGATCAGGCCCTTAGTCTTAGTTGGCAGCTGGTCTAGGAGAAAAGCTCTGATAGCTGAACAGATAGAGCATTGCTCCTCTACTCTGACAGCTTCTGCAGCATGCTTTGTTCTTAAATGTGTTGCCTTTCCTTTGCCTTGATTCAACTGGTATTGCCATAGGCAGGATTCTCATGCCTTACTGTAGCACAGTGAAACATTGTCATAAAGAAATATGGACAATGTGACAGCCAAACAGTGCTAATATGCTGTAGGAATTAACAAAAGTATTATGAACTTTAATGTTAATGGTACTACAATCAAACAACTATAAGAATTCAAATATCTTGGAAGCATATTTATGGAGGATGGCAGACTCGATAAAGAGATAGAACCCAGAGTACAGAAGGCAATTGCTGTCACCTACCAGATAGCCCCACTGCTTAGACATCCACATGTCTCCCTACCAGCAAAACAGCAAATGATTAATAGTATCTTTATGCCTACTCTATGTTATCAGTGCCAAACGTGGACAATGAATAGGGCACTAGAACAGAAAATAACTACATGTGAAATGTGTTGTTTCCACAAGGTCACTAACAACAAAAGAAGAAACTGGGTTATGAATACCAGCATTAGAGAGATAGTTGGAATAAGACCATGTCTGGATTATATTGGCAGGCAAAGAATGAAATGGTTCAGCCATCTAGTGAGAATGCAGCCATGCCAGACTGCATATGAGACTTTTTACAGCAGAACATCTGGGAGGAAGGTGAGAGGAAGACCAAGAAAGAGATGGATAAATGTCGTAGCTGAAACCTGCAAAAAAGATGAACAGATCCATCACCTAAGCCACCCGAGAAGTACAAGATAAATACAGAAAACCACGACACTGGGCTACAACCTGGTATCAGTGAGATGATAACAGAGAGAAAGTTGTTACTAGTGTAAACAGGTTTCTCCAGTCTGAGCTGACCAAACATAAAAGTAAGAAGACATCTAGTATGATGTTTGGATCAGATGAGGAGAGGCCTGTCACTCCATGAGTTGCTTTGTAGTGGAAGAGTCAAGAGAAAAAATTGTAACATTTGTTGAGATTAAAATGGAACACAAGTTAAAGAGAGAAGATTCTTAGTTATGACAGGAAATATTTCAACACACACAATGATTATTTCACGTGAGAATAAGGAAGGGGTTCGTGGAGAATCATGACCGCCTCAGGAAGCTACTAAGTCATAAATAATGGTGGTAGTATTAGTAGTTGTTATCGTGATGATGTTGTTTGACCATTCTGTTTTGATACTTTGTTTTATTTGTATATTATAGTAATTCTTTTTTAACCATATGGTCAGTTTACATCATGAATTTTGTATTTTTTTTAACAGGGATATTAGTGGAATCAAAGATGAGTTTTCTAAAGGTCAGGAGACTTTGCTTGACTATGATGCAGAAGACAGCAATCTCTATGGAGATGAATCCAAACAGGCAAGACTACATTTCTCACTTATTCCTTTTGGTGAATTTTACGCGACTCATTTGATCATCTCTGGTTATGACATGGACACTAGCATAGTGCCACATGTATACAAAATTTAGAATTAGTGAATTAGCCATGTGCACATGTGGACTATCACTTGAGACAACAGATCACATTCTCTGAGATTGTCCCAAACGAGACATTTCCAGGCAAAACTTCTGGCAAAGAGAGATACTGGTGAAAGCCAGCAGGCCGCTAAGTGAATTACAAAAGACTGAAGTTCATACTAGAGACAGCATGCTGATATAGATCATTTATTTCACGCGAACAAAAGAAGAAAAAAACTAACATAGTGTAGTCTGAACTTTAATCCCTAAGTTTCCAGTACTTGGGATTTAGGTTAATTTTATTATAAACAGAATTGAGTTGAGAACTAACATCACAGCGTCTGGGACATTGCAACCAGGTCAAAATTCTTTCATCAACCAGAACAGAATTCTGTCATCAACCTAGACAACATTCTTTCATCAAACAAAACAGTATTCTGTCATCAAAGTTCTCTGTCCCCATCTTCAGCAGCCACTGAACAGTTTCAATTCCTATTGTACAAGTAGCAGTTTGATTACATGTCTATGTTGCCTTTCCTCTGAGCGTGCAGTGCAGCCAGAACCCCAGGTCAATCCCTGCTGAACCAAGTCCTACAAATCTGTTTGCACTTGCTCCACTTGTTTTATTTTTCATCTTGACACAAGATACAAGGGGACATCATCATGTAGCAGGTTCTTTGCAGAACTTGCTGTCACCATGGTCTGCCAGGAAGAAACTTAGTCTGTCGTCAGTTCTCTGCCACATGCACTTCTCTACCCAGAGTGTCACTTATATCCTGTGCCCATCTTTATGTCTGGCGCAGGCCAATCTGGTTGTCATCATCACCAGGGGGGACGAGATGGGAAAGGGGAGTTGGGTGGCAAAATGGCAAAAAATTTTGTTTTAAAAATTACTTATGGAGAAAAGGGCAGGGTGTCAGAAAAACTTTAACAAGGGGTATCACCGGACCTTGATTCACAACTACCTGTGGATGGTTTATTTTTAAGCAATAAAAAAAATTATAAGTTTTGTACAGTAGAACAATTTGCTCTGTGGAAAAACCAGCAAAAATTAAAGGAGAGCTTTAGGTTATAATTGTGACTAGGCTAACAGTCAGTATGTGAGGAGTTCTTTGGTGCTAAAAGAGTTAACAGAAGAAACTGATAGAGAATCTTGCTTTGTTGGAAAAAATTACAAAATCGTCGTGCTCAACCAGCACAAATGAAAGGAGAGCTTTGGGTTATAATTGTGACTAGGCTAAGAGTCAGTATGTGAAAAGTTCTTTGGTACTAAAAGAGTTAACAGAATAAACTAATAGAGAATGGTGCTTTGTTGGGGAAAAAAATCATCATGCTCAACCAGTAAAAATTAAAGGAGAGCTTTAGGTTATAATTGTGACTAGGTTATGTGCACCATTTAAAGTGGCTTAGCATTGCACGCCACCAAGAGCCCTAAAAAGAACTCCTGCAGTGTTGATGCAATCAAAGGAGACGGACTCAAATACAGTCTGCTTGCCAGTGTCTATAGAGAATGTATGCTGCTCTAATTTAAGTTGCTTGATGATCATTTCAACAAATTGCGGAACATTTTGACTTATTATTCTGTATTACTTTACAGGGTGTTGCAGAGGTGAGTAACTATTGTTTAAAATTCTGAATTCAGGTCTGTTAAGTGTGAGATGACATGCAATCACTATTTGGGAGCTGACATTTTAAAGTATTCATACTGGAATACTGCATCTATACTCTTAGAGACAGATATATACATATATCTGTGTGTGTGTGTGTTTATGTGTCTGTGTAATTTATACTCTGTGTTAAGAGGCAGAAGAAGGGCATGATGGTTCATATTAAAAGCGAGTGGACGTCACTTAGCGCAACAAAGCCTGGAATATTATATGACATTTAGTTTGAGAATGGAGGTGGTGGTAGTCACTGCTGCCTTTCCCTGGCTTGGATCAGCTGTACACACATGCTCTAATTGTAACTGACTCACAGAGCAAGTTGAGAAAGGTGGAGACAGTCATGATCCGTGCAGAGTGACAAATATCACTTCAGTGGTCCCGGGTGGTTAGCTTCCTTTAGATAATTTCTCCAAGGTATGCCAGTGTATTGTGAACAGGCAGATAGATTGGCTTATTCTGTAAAACAACTTGGTGATAAATTGATGCTTGACAAGTTGCAAGGGCCCTTTGGGAGCACATAAACAGTGCACAAATAGATCATCATGGTCTGGAGAGATTGATGCAGCAAAGAGTGACCAGGGGATCTGGTCCATTGCTCAACACTCTGGTGAAGGGCGAGATGGACGTACTGCCAGACTATTACTGGTACTATCAGAACTGTAACTATACACTGGCTGCCGAGGATGGGGACGGAGTGCTTATGGGAATGTCCTGAGTACTGTAAAAAGTGTTTTTAAAAAAAAAATCTTTTTTCATGCCTTTAGGCACATCAGGCATATTGGAAGAGCACCCATATTTTTTACAAAACCAATCGACACTAGGTGGGTAATGTGGTCAGCATTATGCCAGCCATGTTTACTTCCCCAGGACATACATCCTGGTACCCATTTTAGGCTGGGTCGACCAAGATAAAAATCCACACAGCCAGCAGTGGGTTTCGATCTCGGCATGCTGGAATTACAAGTTGGACCCTCAGTGCCTAAGCCACGTATGCCACTCAATACTGTGATGTCAGTTCTGAACTCATAAGCCATAACAAAAATGTCATTTGCTGGGCCAGTAACTAAACCCAAATATTTTTCTGTTTTCCCATAAAGGGGGATTTCCCACATTTTGTTGTGGTTTACATCAAGGTTGCATCTTTCCACCCAAAACATCCGATTTTGGCAAATTCGTACTTAGTCTTCATTTATGATGTCCTTGTTAGGGGTAAGTGGGTCAGTATAAAAAAAATATGGAGCCCTGGCACTCACAGAGGGAACTGAAACCAGATTATTTGTTTCACTTAGGACTGGTTACATTCTTAAAAAATCCCTGTTGTAACCATCTCTCTCTGTCTTTGCTCTTCTCCTCTCTCTCTTTATCTTCTTTTTTTTCTTTTTTTTTCGTTCGTTTTTGTATGCTCAAATCAGACCATCAGGTGGGTTGCCTCTATGAACTCGCATGTCAGTAGCAGGTCGTTTCATGGTTCCCGATAGCTTGATCTGCACACTTTGCTTTTGAGGCTAGGTGTCTTATCAAATTTGTAGGTATAGTGGGTCATGTCCCCAGAATGTGCTCAGGTATTTGTGGTCCTGTTTGACAGGCCAACTGTGGGGATTGTACAGTCTTTATTTTATTCTCTGTCTCTGTATCTCTCTCCCCTTCCCTCTTGATATCCTGTCTCCCTCCCTTCTAGCTCTGTCTATCTCTCCCTGTCCTGTTGTCTCTTTCTCCAGTTTCCCCATCTCTGTCCATGTCTCTCTGTCTGTCTCTCTCTGTCTCTCTGTCTCTCTGTCTCTCTCTCTCTCTCTCTCTCTCTCTCTCTCTCTCTCTCTCTCTCTCTCTCTCTCTCTCTCTATGTGTATGTGTGTATGTGTGTGGATTATTGATAAATCTGTTAATGATGAAATACCTAAGATCTATCATGTAACCATTGCTCAACCTAAGCCTGTGATATGTATGTGTTGTTATCAATCATATCATGAAAACAAATACAATCTAACTGAGAAACAGAACTGGTCAGCTTCCCAATAAAAGAACAGTGAAGAAAGACAAATTAAAATTGTGGCTAAAGAGCCTTCATCAGGATACAAAACCATAGACAGTAATACAGTTACACCTGTATTAAACCATAGCCTTGTTACATTCAAATATGCCTCTCAGGTGTAAAAGTCCCTTTTGTACACCTTCAGGTGCTGTGCATAAAGGGCTAGACCTATATTTTATAGACCAAACGGCACTTGATGGGGATGTGATAACATCACATCAGCCACCTTTACTTCCCAGGACTTTGCCTGGTACCCATTTAAGGCTGGATCAACGTGAGAGCCAAACTCATATTTAAAAGAAAAAAAGTCTGGCTCTGTTCAGATTTCCCCCCATGACCTTCAGATTCACAGGTGAGTGTCTAGCCGCTACACCGTGGCAGCTCCTCCTCTCAGATGTGAAGTTCTAGTATTGCAAACCTCTGCGGGTTTATGAATCTTAAGAGGGGAAAAGAAGCTCTGCAGTACAATCCTACGGACAAAACTATAGAATTCCTTGAATAGACAAAAAGAGCGGCCCATATGTTTTGAAAAGGGTGAGGGCCCATAGACAACTTTTCACAAACATCAGAAAGAAATTGTTTAGTCACGTAATGAGAAAAAGGAAACTGGAACATTTGTGACCACTGGAAAAGTGTGTGTGGAAAGAGACAGTGAAAGTCAATGCAAGAAGATTTTTGACCACATTCTTTCGTGGTATGGAGGGGTGTCAGCATATGAACTTTCACATGCTGTTGAAGATTGCAGATTTTGGAGAGGAATGATCACCCATGACAGTTGGCAAGGCACTCATAAGGCACTTATGATCATGTTGGAAGGGAAATTTGCATACCAGTCACACTCTTTTCATAACTCAATAACTTAATGCCAGTGTATTAGTCCTAAGAGTTAAAATGTTGTATTACATAGGAATTGGTGACCAATCATCCACTAAGCATTCAACTACTCAGCCAGTCATCTATCCAACCAACCAACGACCCAACCAACCAACCACCCAACCAACCAACCACCCAACCACCCAACCAACCACCCAACCAACCACCCAACCACCCAACCAACCAACCACCCAACCAACCACCCAACCAACCACCCAACCAACCACCCAACCAACCACCCAACCAACCACCCAACCAACCACCCAACCAACCAACCACCCAACCAGTTAAATAACTAACCACCCAACCAACCATGTAACAAACCCCCAACAAACTATTCGGCCAACCAACTAACCACCCAACCAACCATGTAACAAACCCCCAACAAACTATTCGGCCAACCAACTAACCACCCAACCAACCATGTAACAAATCACCCAACAAACTATTCAGCCAACTAACTAACCAGCCACCCAACCAACCACCCAACCATCCAACCAACCGACTAACTATGTAACCAGCCACCCAACTAACCAACCAACCACTTAACTAACCAACCAGAAAGTTATAAAAAACTGTGTATGAACAGTCTTGCTGTGGAGAGTAGGTAGATTATTGAGAAATTATGAGTACGTTCTTTTTTTGATCTAAATTCTTTGTTACTGTTGAGATGTTCTATCCATTTTAAGAAAGAGGAAATAATGGAACTCACTGATGATGAAGAAGCCATCAAGGCATACCTAGAGACAAATGAACCACTGCCTACAAGACTGCTAGACAAGATAGTCAGAGTTTGGTGGACTATGGAACCATTCAAGTAAGTATTAGCATATAGGTCTCTTTTGTGTGAGCTGACAAAGCCAGAAAGCTGTGGTAGTGGGGTGATGAGACATTTGTCTGATGATCTGAATGTCTTAAACCCTTTCTCTTCGCACATGCTTTCCAGAAATTGGTCATGAACATGTGGCATTTTTTTCTAAAAACAAATAAATTGTTTTACAATGTGTTTTTCTACATTTGTTTTACATAGTGATTTTGAAATATATAAAGATATATATAGAGGGCAGTCAGTAAACAAGCACAAAGTGAAGCTTTTAAATAGAATACATTTCCCAGGATCTAAAACATTTATGTATTGGGTTACTCATGCAGTGACCATGACCCTGTGAACTATATCAGTGAGGCTCTTGGGACAATTTTAGGTCAACCTAGCTTTAAAAAAAAAAAAAAACTTCCTGGCAAGTAAAGGCAGCCAGAATGATGTTGACACATCACCCAACAAGTGCTGATTGGTCTTTAAAAAAAATGAGTCTAGGATTATATACTTGATGTGCCAATGGCATAAGATGGTCTTTTTTTTTTTTTAATTACTTAACTACAAAGTCTGAACTATTCAGCTGAGTTGAGTTGAGTCGAGAATTTACATCACAGCACCCAGGGCATTCCCATATGTGCTCCATCCCCATCCTCAGCAGCCAGCACAGAATTCTAATACTAATGGTGCCAGTCATAGTCTGGTTGTATGTAACTAGTTAGAGATATTGTTATGTCATATCCTTTACAAGATTACCTTGATTCCATTGTACATAATATTTTTCTGAGAACTGTGTTGAGTTAAGCTGTCAAGAACCAGCCTCACAGCATTTTGGATATTCCTGTAAGCTCTCTGTCATCATCTTCAACAGCCAGTGAAGACCTCCATTGTTGGTGGTACTAGCAGCAGTTTGAGAATATGTCCATCTTGCCTTTCCTCTGAATGTTGATCTGATCTGATCCCCTGGACACTTCCGGCTGCACAGCTCTTCCCAGACCATAATAATCTGTTAATGCTTCTGCATCGTTCTCTTGCTCCCATATGACTTTGACCACATCCGTCAGATCCTCCATCACCAGTAAATAAACTGCCTAGGAACTTAAACTCCTTAACTTGTTTTAATTTCTGCACTGCTGGTGTGAACAGGATCCTTTACAATAACTTCCCTGACTGAGGTCTACTTGGAAACCTCCTGAAGCTAACAAGCACTAATATGTAGACATGTTATCTGTTCAAAAGTCACGGACATATTTTTTAATAATTTTTTATGCATATCCTCAGATCTACGGGCTTTGTCCTTGAAGGTTTCCCACGTACTGTAGAAGAGGCTAGGTACTTGCAAGATTCTGGACTTTTCCCGGATGCAGCAATTATATTGCAGGTTGTAATATGATATATTTACTCACCATATTTTGTTTTTAAGTAAAGTAAAAAATACAGGTCTTATTTTCCCACCTTTGGCATATGGTGAAGTCCCCATTTTCCCATAGACCAATATAGATATACTGGTATGTTGAGAAATGAGCAGGCACCTAGACGGGCCGGTTCTACATCATTTGGTGGTGAACTGATATATACCAAGCTAGATGTTGTGAGGGTCCTTTGGGAGCAGTGAACAGTGTGGAAGCACAAATGGATCATTATGGTCTGAGGAGAATGGCGGTGTCAGAAGTTACCTCGGAATCTGGCCAACGCTGAACACTCAAGGCAAGGGCAAGACAGCTATACAATCAGTTACTAGTGCAATCCAAACTGGAACTCTTTGCTTGCTGCTGAAGATGGGAAAGGAGCCCTTATGGGGGCGTCCTGAGTGCTATGATGTTGATTATTAATTCAACATTCTAAAGATAAATAGGCACTTACATGTGATTTAATCAATATAAGCCAAGACCTCATTACTTTCCTGGCTTTTCCTAGGACCTATTTTAAGTTGGGTCGACTTGAAAGTCTTGGACAGTTTTAGAAGTTAGCCTTTCAAATTTTGAATTTGAACTTATGATCACCAGGCAGGCAGGCAGGTAAGCTACTGTACCATGTGACTTCTAAACAATTTGTAGCAAGATATTTATTCTTACTCCTTTTTTCTTCTTAGCGTTCACCGGCTATTGTAGTTGTGGTAGTCCATCCATTTCTGGATTTTGGTCTTGTTCCAGAAATTAAGTTTTGCATGCACATTCATTTTACAGATTTGGCTTGTTTGTATGCAGACTGTTGTGTTGGTCAACCTGATGGCCATAGTCATTTTAGAAAAAAATCAGTCCATTAGGAAAAGGGAGAAGATGTAACAAGCTGAAAAGAGGTTTAGGGCCAGGTGGGATATTTCTGCATTAAAATTCAGCCCATACAGAACCAGACTGAGACCCAGTAGAGGTACTTGAATTTTTCTTCTTCTTCTTCTTCTTCTTCTTCTTCTTCTTCTTCTTCTTTTTCTTCTTCTTCTTCTTCTTCTTCTTCTTCTTCTTCTTCTTCTTCTTCTTCTTCTTCTTCTTCTTCTTCTTCTTCTTCTTCTTCTTCGCATTCACCAGCTGTAAACTCTGGCGGAAAGATCTGGTTGTTCATCCACTTCTAGACTGTAGTCCTGTTCTTGTACCTAAGAGTTGCGTGTGCATCCGTTTTACAGATCTTACTCATTTGTATGCAGACTGCTGGTTCCTTGCCTCTCAGGCAGGTGCATTCAAACTTTGAAGGAAGCTCCCAATTACTCGACTGTTACGACATGCTTTTGAGTAGGCAGTGGATCTATTCTTGTTTTCCCTATAACAGGGCCCCGAAACCCACAGGGGGAAGAACCTGAATTAATTATAAAAATTATTTTGCAGAAAATAAATCAAATGCTGGATGTTCAGTTGTTGATAAATTATGTTAAAATAAAATATTTGTTGTTGTTCCAGCTGTATTATTACAAATATTTGTATCATTTAGGCATCAGAAAATGATGTGATAGGACGCCTGTTACCGCCTAAACTGGACATATGGAGAGCAAAGAGAAACAAAAGATTGGCCAAAAAGGCACGAAACAAGGCCAAGGGTCAAGCCAAGAGGGTCAGTCATTTGTGCATATTATGAAAAGTTTTATTGTTGCAAATTTACAATTTGTTTTTGAAATAAACATTGATAAATAATTCACCCTACCAGACCGCTGGCCTGATTTTCCAGGAATTTTCTAACCTGACGCTATACCGCTGGCCCCAATTTTTTAGGATTTTGCCTAGTACATGAAAAATATGCATCACAGACTAAAAATAACCAGCCAATCGCCATCGGACTTCGTGGTTAGTCAATGCAAATGACTTCCCACTTGTGTTGAGATTCCTTTGTGTGGTTTGATGTGAAAAAATTTTGGAAAATTCTCAATGAAATGAGCGGCTTCGACAGGAAAGTGACGTAGGTCTAGGCTTTTCACAATCCAACAGGTGATCGATACTTTGGTTAATTCAGACTGTGAATAGGTTCATGAAGAATGCGTTCCCAGTTAAAGTGACACAGTCAGTGAGAGCTAGAGTGAGGAGGAGAATTATGAAAATTATAGATTTAAAACTAGATCGATAGTAAGAGAAAAGGGCGTCTCCCTCAAACAGCAACATCTGGTGCTTAATTTGTGAAACAAGACTGATCCTACTGGGTGGATTGGCACACAAAGGTGGAAGATTGGCGCTAGACGAAAGATAAACCTATTTTCTACAGTGTCTCCAAGTTTGATCTTTTTCTAACCCCTTGTTTGCTTGTAACTAATGTTTGTGTACATCATGTTGGTTTTTTCGTGTTAATGCCCAGGAGCTCAGGTTATAGGGACAGTTAGGTTCAGGGCTTCAGGTCTGTTAGGGTTAATAAATGTGCATTGATTTGTTGATTTAAAATGCTGCACTGTTAAAACTAGGAGTCGCCATGGCGTTGCTGCTGGATGCGGATCCGAAGGTCATGGGTTTGCTCCCTGGCAGAGCTGGACTTTTTTTCAAAAATGACCTTGACTCCCAGGTCGACATAGCCCTGATTGGGTACCGGGTGCATTCCCGGGAAGAAAAGTCAGCCGGCAGGATACTGACCACCTCACCCATTTTATGCCAATTGGTCTGTAAAAATATAGATCTAGTCCTTTATGCCCCATACGCCTAAAGGCGTGGAGAGGAGACCTTTACTATACTTACTTACTGTTAAAACTACTAAATATATAGTTTTAACTGAAAATTTTCTGTTTTTATATATATTTTTATACATTTAATGCGTATTTAATCTTGTTTTTTTTTTTGTATATGTAAATTATTTTTTCAGACATTTCTCATGATTTGTCATTTATTGTTATGGCGAATAACACAGCCAAAGCCGATAAGTGCAAGCTAGCAGAACACCTAATTTATTACATTAATGGTTTACTCATATTTCTAGAGACCAGTCGGCAGTTGGTCAGTGTTGTGGCCAATATACCTTCCCAGGACATTACGTGCACCCATTTTAGGCTGGGTTGACGCGAGAGCCAAAGCCAGTTTTGAGAAGAAGAAATCAGTCTTTATGTGGGTTCAAACAGTACCCCGGGAAAGCTGTTAATTTAATTACTTAAAGCTAAATAAAAAACATTGTCAAAATTTCTGGTAGCCATTTTTTTAGAGCTGCCTTTTTGTAGTGGCCAGACTAGTGGATTTGAAGGTCATAGGTTCAAATCTAAACAGAGCCGGATGTTTTGGTATGACTTTGGATCCCATGTTGATCCAGCCTTAACTGTATACCTGGTAAAGTCCTGGGAAGTAAAGGCAGCTGGTGTGATGGTGATCACATCACCCACTGAGTGTCAGTGATTAGGCTATAAAATATATATTTCGCTGTGTATGCCAGATATGCCTGAAGGCTTCATTTAGGAAGGGTAAATTTACCTATTTTCATAAGGTGGGGTTGACAAGTACTGAAAGGTTACATCTGTTGTATGGAAATGAGTCTTGGAATGTGAGCAAACAAATTAAGGAAAGTTTGCAGGCAACTGAGATGTGGTTCTTGAGAAGAATGTTGCGAATACCTTTGACTGCCAGAATAACTAACAACGTTTGCCTAGAAATGGCTAATGGAAGTAGAACATTATATACAACAAAGTTCTTTGGTCATGTGATGAGAAAAGGAGCACTGGAAAATATCATGACAAACTGGAAAGATCGCTGGTAGAAAAGGCAGAAGCAGACCAAAAGAAATTATGGTGGATAGCTTAAGACAGTGGCTTGGAGGATTATCGTTAGTGGAACTGATCCAGAACACCGAAAACCGACCTCTGTGGAGATGCATGAACCCCTACGCCGTCTGGCAAGGCACTTGATGATGATTATGGGTTGACCCCAGAGCCTTTTGATCATGCTGCCCCTTCTGGGCCTTAAACCCAGACTACTGTCTTGACGGGCAGGTGCTTTAACCACTATACCACAACAGCTCTTAAATATAGGTTGAAAATTTCTTGTTGTTTTAATAACTGTACAACCGACCACCAGAGCTGGAGAGAGCTGATCAGACAGTCAACAGAAACTAGTGTTCCAACGACACACAATGTTACAGGATGATGATGATGGTCCCATTTTCATTTTAAGAGATTATGATCAGCCTAGTTAGACATTATGTATCACTCGAATCTGGAACAGTGACTTTTGTTGACATTTTTACAGGAAGCTGCTATGGCAAAGCGCAGAGAAGTTCTCATAAAGGAGCGAGATGAGAGACGGGCTGTTAGAATGGTCAGTGCCTTAGTTTATTTTGTGTTTCATCTGTGCAGCATTATAATTACTTTTTTTTTTTTTAAGTTATTAACTAACTCAAATAAAAAAAAATTATCCCAGTTCATTATGCTTTTATCCTCATATAAGTTTAAAAATTGACATTTTATTCTTTTTTTTTTTTTTTTTTTTGTTATTAGTTTTCTATGATTTTTCTAATAAAGTTTAAAACAGACAAATATGGTTATTAGTTCTCTATGATTTTTCTAATAAAGTTTAAAACAGACAAATATGGTTATTAGTTTTCTATGATTTTTCTAATAAAGTTTAAAACAGACAAATATGGTTATTAGTTTTCTATGATTTTTCTAATAAAGTTTAAAACAGACAAATATGGTAGTAGTGGTTACAATGCAGCAGCACTTTAACATAACAGGTAGTTATGTGGATATATATATATATGGCAGTTGTTTTTAAACTTTTTAAACTTTTGTAGGTTTTATTTTGTAACCATAGTAGCACAGTGGCTGGGTCTCAACTGGAGAATGAAGGATAGCAGAGTCCCTAAGGACTCTCTATGGTGAAAAAAGACTGGTAAAAGATGTCGAGGCTGACCTCTACTATGATATAAAGATGGGTGCAAGCAGGACATGAATGATACAGGTGTTGAGGTGAACTCATGGGAGAAAAATTCCATGGACCGTGCTGTGTGGAAAGGGCACATCACGAATGGAATGAGACTTGATTTGATTCAAGAACCGACATCACAGCATTCCCATAAGCGCTCCATCCCCATCTTCAGCAGCCAGAGTTCCAATACTAATTGTGCCAGTAGCATTCTGATTAAAGGGAATGAGAATAAAGAAAGAAATGATTGCAGAAAGGATGAGAGCTGAGCGTCTGAGAAGAAACAGGCTAAACACAAATGTTGACAACAATAGTCTTGAAATCTCAGGCTATTATTGCGGAAGACTTTTTCTTAACGTGGGTGGGTCGTGTTAGTCACACTCGCCATCGCCATGGGCTGTGAGTCCCATGCCTCCTCACAGAACAATAAAACACTATCATCTGGAAAGATGGAAAGGTGCCAATTAAAATCTAGTAGCCTAGTGGCTAGTTGTCAGGCCTGCCTGTCTAGTAGTTCTTTGTTCAAATTCTCCGCTAAGCGGAAGTTTTCTTTTGGACCTCCTGGCTGCAAGTTGAAATAGCCTTATTAGAATAAATCAAAACAAAGACGTGGAAAGATAGCAGGGGGGCCAGTAAAATATTGACCAATCTGTCTGAAAAACACAAATCCTTCTTTGCACCTTCATTGTTCCATGTGGCATGGAGCTAAGTATATAACTTTTTTTTTTAAGTAACCTTTAGCTTTCATTTATTACATATGTTCTGAATAGAAACTGTATTGTTCTTAGTCTTCAAGGGCTGTTAACTCTGGTTGAAAGTTCTGGTCGTCTGTCTACTTCTGGACTTTGGCCTTGTTCTAGAATTTGACTTTTTTGTGCACATCTCTTTGACAGATTTAGCTTATCTGTGTGCAAACTGTTGGTTCCTTGTCTCTCAGGCAAATGCACTCTGACTTTGAAGGAGATGCCCCTAGGTATTTGCTTTGTATGATATGCTTGTTAGGGAGGAGGTGGGTCTATTTTCCCCGCCCCCATCCCCCCAGATTAAAATTAAAATGGGGTCCCAAATCCCGCATAGGTAGTAGAGAGTTGGTTTCCTTAACCAATGAGCACTTGGTGGGCGATGTGGTCAACAGCATGCCAGCCGCCTTTACTTCCCAGGACTGCACCTCGTACAAAGTCAAGGCTGTGTCGATCTGGGAGCCAAGGTCATTTTTTAAGAAAGCCTGGCTCCGTGAGGACCCAAACCCACGCCCTTCTGATACACAGGCGAGCGTCTAGCTGCTACACCACAGCAACTGCTGGCAAGAGGAAGGTAAAGAGATAAAAATCTGGATGGCTTGGCCACATGGATCAGGCCAGACGAAATCATTGACCTGGTCTGTGATTCTGGTGATCATATGAGATGGTGAAACATGCAGCCTGCATTTACCGGTACAGCGTGCGTTAATGATAGAATTGATTTCTGGTATATCATGATGAGAGTGATGCTCCACTAATGGACTGCTATACGATAATACTGTCAGTGTTTTTTCCATTTCACCCCCTTTAATAAACTTATTTTGTTCTGTGATCTAATATGTCATTTTTATCTGTTCATCTTCAGGCAAAAAAGGCTATGTATCCAGCGGAAGCTGATCCAGATGAGGAAGCTGTTGAAGATGAAGAAGAGACTGAATATGAGGAGGAAGAGGACATTGAAGCCATTTTGGCAGAGGAGTTTGAGGTCAGTATTGAAGTTACGTGTTCATCCTGATTTTGGAAAATTAAATTTTGCTGACTGACTGACTTTCTACCCCACCAGGACATCACACGAGCGATAAACACCTGATGACACAATGTGTCACTGTGTGGATGAGGATCACCGTGGAGAGGTTCCAGAAACCGCGTTCAGCCATTAGGCCATATGTATGGCCGGGCTATATTGCGGCCCCGGCAAGAGCCAGAGAAGGGCTTCAAATAACGAAAAATTGCATCTCATAAGGAGATGACAAGATATAATAACGTAACTGAAGGATGATTAAATTAGTATGCTTATTATTATCAGATAGTTTTCTTTTTCTTCAAAAAATCTTGTCTACAATTCTTCCACATTACTTTTAGCCATTGTTTAAGTGTAATGAATGACATAACAAATGCCTAGCCATTACATATGCTTAACCTAGGGTAGACATTTACAAAATATGTTTAATATACCCAATAGCTCAAATGTGGAACTATCTTCCATGGCAAAAAAAAAAATATATCACTTACCCTGTGCAAACAATCAAAAACTATTTGAATATTATCTCAGCACATACTTAAAAAGCTGCAATTTTGTTTCTTCTGTGACTTGGTAGGAGTCTGTGACTCACATTCATAAGTTGCCACGGAAAGATGCATTATCTCAAACTTGTTGCTTTAACTCACTTGCTGGTGCTTGTGCCATAGGATCTTCATGCTGTTTAGTCTCTGCTTTGCTAAAGCAAGTCTTTTTTCTTACTTCTTTTGTGCAGTCGCCACTGTTTTTCACTACTGAGCTTCTGAATCTGTGACATTTTCATATGTGTTTGGTGTGCTTTATTCATAAAAGACAATTTTTTGTCTCTTAATAATTTTAATTAGACACTTATGGAGCTGAAACAGCTTCTTCGTCTTCTTCTGTGTGTTCACCAGCGGTAAACTCCGGTGGAAAATTTGGGTCGTTAGTCCATTCCTGGACTTTGATCTTGATCCAGAACTTGACTTTTGCATGCACATCCATTTTACAGATCCAGCTTGTTTGTATGCAGACTGTTTGTTCCTGACCTCTCAGGCAGACGCATTCTTACTTTGAAGGAAACACCCCAAATTAGTCACCTCTTATGACATGCTTGTTGGGGGGAGTGGGTCTAATCTTATTTCTTCAAAATGGAGCCCCAGAACTCACACTGGGAATCTAAGCTTTTTTTTTAATAGGTAACAAAAATATAGAAATAAACGAGTTGTTGTGATCCATACCTAGGACCAGAGGAGTTAATGAATACACAAACAGTATATTGCACATTTTATTGCCTTTTATATTCCTCCGAATATCACATTGTGTACCTGCAGGATGAAAACAGCCAATATAATTAACTGTTTGTCTCGTAAACAGGTCACTGTAGCCAAATTAGAAAAGTGACATTTACAGGGAATTAGACCCAGTGGGAAGTGTGGTTTTTTTCAACTTCTTGGGCTGAAAGGTTTAATAAATTAGCAGGCTCGCAGTTCAACCAAAACTTGAATGCGTGCTAGGAAATGTCCTGGAAAGTAAATGTGACCAGTATGATGTTGTCACATCACCCATCATGTGTCAGAATGTCTATAATAAATGGGTCTAGCAAAACAAAAACAAAAGTAAAGGACCCTTTCCACGCCTTTAGGGGTATAGGGCATATAGGGCTACATCTATATTTTATAGACCAACGGCACAAGATGGGTGATGTGGTCAGCATCACGCCAGCCGCCTCTACTTGCCGGGACCCACTCAAGGCTGGGTCGACCTGGGAGCCAAGGTAATTTTTGAAGAAAAGTCCGGCTCTGCCAGGGAGCAAACCTGCGACCTTCCGAGGCATGTGTCTAGCCGCTCTGCCACGGCGACTCCCAATTTTAAAGAAATTTTACAGTCCTTTGTTTGGTTTTAAATTGTGTCGCCAAGTGGTGTGAATAATTTGCATTATTGAAAACAATGGCTTCTGTCTTCAGACAGCAATTGATTCACCATCGTTCTACTTGCTTCTCAGACATGCAGCACTTTGCTGAAAAATGTAATAACATTGAAAGATACATCTATCAAAGCTTGGCCTGTGTGTAAAATGTGTTCACTAAAATTTATCTTAACTAAGAAACAGCTTTAAAACACAATGAGAATAAAACACACAACATGCCAACTTTTCCCCACAAAAAGTCCTATTCTTGTCTCTGCCTAAAATGACATTCATTTTGCAGTTAATTACTTTTTGTAAGATATTGTTGGATTTTTTTTTTTTTTTTTTTTTGACGCCTTATTTAGGGAGGAAAAGAATAGTAACCCCTCTTCCAACCCCCCCCCCCCCCCCTTTTTCCACTTTTTTTCCCAAGCAAGCTTCTCGTAAAAGGCAGCTAAATTAGTGGCGTTTTGAAGTCAGAGTGAAGGAGGGAAGGAGCGGATATCTGTATATCAATAAACTAGATCTATCAGATGGATATACAGGAAAAACTCAAGAAACCGACAGAGTCTGGAAGTGGATAAGTAACCAGAAATTTCCACTGGATTCTACAGTAAATTAATGCTAAGAAAAAGGAAAATAAAATAAAACAAGAGACAAGTCCCTAACTAGTTGTGTAGTTGTTACATGCCTTTAATTTCTTGAAGCACCAGTTTTTTTTTTTAATGTTGTATTTCAGATTTCATTGCATTTCTGAATATTATTAAACAAATACAAATAAGATATTTTTTATTTGCAATTATTTTTACAGGAGGAGGAGGAAGCAGAAGAGGAAGAAGATGAAGAGCCTGAAGAAGAAGCTGTAGAGAGGATGAAAAATGACTTGAATGAAATCTATTCTGATGACAGTGATCGAATTGCAGGAGTGTTGGTAATGTTTCTGAGTAGTAAACTCACATAATATTTGAACTGATTAACTCTTGTGCAGCTCTTTTATAGCATTCCTAGTTTTCAGCAGCTGTTTCTGTGTTTACTTTCCTTACAGTTAATTCTAAATCTTCCATACAGTTTTCTAAATCTTCCATACAGTTAAATCTAAATCTTCTATACAGTTAATTCTAAATCTTCCACACAGTTAAATCTAAATCTTCTATACAGTTAATTCTAAATCTTCCATACAGTTAATTCTAAATCTTCCATACAGTTAATTCTAAATCTTCCATACAGTTAATTCTAAATCTTCCATACAGTTAATTCTAAATCTTCCATACAGTTAATTCTAAATCTTCCATATAGTTAATTCTAAATCTTCCATACAGTTAATTCTAAATCTTTCATACAGTTAAAACTGAATCTTCTATACAGTTAAAACTGAATCTTTCACACAGTTTAAACAAAATCTTTTATACAGTTAAAACTGAATCTTTCATACAGTTAAAGATAAATCTTCCATACAGTTAAAACTAAATCTTCCACACAGTTAAAACAAAATCTTTTATACAGTTAAAACTAAAACTTCAATTCAGTTAAAATTGTAGAAGAAAAAAGTAGAATACAAAAGAAGAAGAAGGTCTTACTTTCATAGAAAACATATATACACTTAATATATATTTTAAAAAACCTTTGTTGTGTGTGCTCTGACTAACCAAAGGAAGTAGAACCACATATGCTTCACTGGTTAATATGAAGAGTAGAAAGAACAGAAAGATGGATGGTTGTTTTTCAGCTTTTCTTGAATCAGCTTTGTGTTTTTATCTTGATTATACCAAGTAGCCAACCCATTTAGATTTGTATCCCTTTAGCATTCACAGTTATAACACTTACATAAAATTATTTGTTTGTTGTTGTTGTTGATCTCTGCTTTGTGCCGCTAGGCGTTGCAGTTTAACAGCTGGTAGGTAGCCAAGCCAGGCTGCACTTGGTTGCCTGGTACACTATGATGTTAAGAAGTCCCTCGGTCCATATTTTTCTAGGTGTCCCTGTACCTCTTGGTTTTCAATGTCATTACCAGAAATAAAACACTTATCAAGGGAAAATACAAGGAACTGTGGAGAGAACAAACCAACAGCAAACATCAACAAAACCCCATCAGCAGACTCAACAGAAAGCTACATACAACAATTGTCCATCTACGAACAGGACACTGCAGGCTCAACTACCACATGCATAAAATAAAGATGGTACAGTCCCCACAGTGTACTTGTCATACAGGACCACAAATACCTGAGTACATTTTGCAGACCTGCCCACTCTACCTGCAACTTCGAAAAGAGCAAAGTGTGCAGAGCAAGCTATAGACTACTATAAAGGACCTGCAGCTGACATGCCAGTTCACAGAAGCAGCCTATTTAATGGTCTGATCTGAGCATACAAAACCAAACGCAAAGAAGAAAGAGAAGAAGTTTCATGTTTCATGACTCTCACTGCCAGCATCATTGGACTCATTCTCACTAGGTTGCTAAAATTTGTCGGGCCTATGTTTCTCCGGGGATGTTAGAATGAGTATTGTTTAACAGTAATTTGTAATTATTTAATATGATTATTAATAAGAAGAAGTAAACAAACAAATGCTTAAAAATTCTGTTCTCTTTTTTTTAACGCCACTAATAATCTAAGGAAACACTTGAAGAAATCCTCATTCCTTGTCTGCATATAAACGCTGGAAGGAAATCCCACATTGTTCGATACATCATCAGCAAGAAAATCAAACCTTACGTGGACCATCGCCCAAGTTTATTTGAACGTGTGTATCCTCTCAGTGAACGCCTCGCTGAACATATGTTACATGTCGGATACAAGCAGCTCAGTCGCTTTGGAAGATGGGACCCAGTACTGGTAGGTTGTTATTTGTCTGTTTGTACTTGATATTTCTAGCCATGGTAGCACAATGGCTAGATACATACCCAAAGGTGCAGAACCAATTAATCTGTCAACCTGTTCATTTCCTGGCACACATGAATATCCTAGAAAAAATATCCAGGAATTTCTTCAGCAATGCTTGCCACTCTGCAGGAAGTAGTACGATGATTTCATAACCGTAAGAACAGTGTCTGCATCAGAGTGCACTTTAAAGATTGATTCTAGTTTGATGGAAATTGAGTCCAGTAGGCTGTGTTTAAAATTTGAAAATTACACGAGATAGTTTTCTGCTCAAGCTGTCAGTGTTGTTTGGTACTTGATAGATCATTAGCATAAAAAGTATTCATCCTGTTATAGCCTTGGCCTCTCTTTCAGCCATTTTATATTTTGATGCATCTGAGACTTTGCTGGGTTGTTTTCATACTATAAGGTCTTTCTCTTTGTTATTATACTGTTTCATTTTTTAACAACTTTGTTGAATGTTTATTTCACATTTGAAAAGAAAATATAGTGTAGGGTTAAACAGATGGAGCAACACCAGCACATAGATATGTTGTATTGTGTTACATTTACATCACGTATGTCCCTTTTTATACGTGACTTTTGCTAAAATATTACATTTTTAGCTAAAAGAGGGTAACTTGTTCCATTTACCCATCTGTTCTCCGTTCTTTTTTTCATAATGCATCTACCATTTTATTGAGATGTTCTCATAATGTTGTTTCTGCAGATCTTCTTGTAACAATTTTGCTTAATTCTCATTTCCCATTTGTGATGAAAATCAACTGTAGCATTACTCACATAGAGTAAACACTCTATCTCCTCTCTTCTCTCCTGGACAAGTACGTGAAGGTTTGACACCAAAGCAACCTGAATCTCGTTATAGCAGAAGCCTATCCTGGAAACCCTGTTCAACCATCATTAAATCATCAAGATGTGCCTTGCTGAAATGCATAGGCAGTCATGTTTCAGTTCTCCACACAATAACTAGGTCAGTGCAATTGTCTCAGGTCGTTATTGTGGCTCTCATCCAGGTATTTATCTATCTGCCTTCTCATTACTCTCTTTCCATCAGTCTGTCCAGTCATTGCCAAGTTCTTGAGTTCACTCCTTCTTATAACATCAAAAAATATTGACTGGCTATGTTTGAATAAAAGTGTTCATTTTTTGTGAAGCCCTGACTTTTGTTGGCATCTTGCAGAAGGTATTGTCATTGCATTCCTTCTAACAGGACCACCAAGCAAGCAGTTAGTCAGCATGCCCTTCACAGAGCATTGCAGGCTCCACAACATGCCTGAAAGTGTCTCTTTCTCTAGCCAGTTCTCCAGCCCTGTGTGCTTTCATAGTCAGTACATCTTCACTGTCCTGTATCCACCTTTGTGAAGGTCAGCTTTTGCCTCCTTTTCCAGAACATGCACCCTCCATCACCATTCTCTCCAGACCACGGTGGTGCTTGACAAGTTCAAAATACCTCAGCTTTCAGGAGAGAATGCTGTTGATGAGCCAGTTCTCCTTGATGTTCACAGGTCCTGCAGGATGTTGACATTTTTCTTCCATGGTATTCTAAGAATTTTTCTCTGGCATTTCAGTTTAAAAAGATTTTCTTCTTTAAAAACTGAGTGAGAGTTCACGCTCACATCCTTAAGTCGCAATGGGAAAGACACATGATCTTAAAATGTTCAATTTAACTTGCCGGCACATACTATGCTTTAGTCAGTGACCATACTGGTCAGATAACTCTAATCATTGTCACAATAGTGTCTTCCTACCGTTGAGAAACTTCATACCACAGCCATCTTTTATGGTTATTATATATATGTCAGCAGTTCCTAACCTGCCAGTCATGACCTTTTTTAGGGTCGAATGACTCTTTTACAGGGGTCGCCTAAAACCATCAGAAAACACATTTTCATTGAAGATATTAAGAAAAATAATTGTTTTGGGGTCGCCACAACATGATGGAACCGTATTAAAAGGTCACGGCATTAGGAAGGCTGAGAGCCACTGTTATAGGTGGACGTCATTGCAGGACATTAGGAGCCTTTCTTAGCAGTGGTCGCAAGCTAGCTTGGTTCGCTAGCTTGGTTCGTTCACTTAGTGAGACATGATTCAATTGCGAAGATGATACTTCAAGGAACATTGGGGGGTAGACAAAGAAGAGGAGGGTAAAGAAAATCCTGGAATTACAATATCAAGAAATGGACAGGACTAAATTATCATACACTTATTCACCAAGCGGAAAACAGAAAAAGATGGCAGGTTTTGTGCACTAGTGCTTCTGTCGATACACCTTCACAACCCTAACTGGTCAAGGGTTATGATATTTTGTGTTAGGTGGGGATTCTACAACAACACCAAGCACAACTTGATGCACTCTGCTGTCCTGCATTTTTTAGCGGACATCATTATGGAATACCAATGCACAGATAAGCTGCATTGTTTTCCCTTCACACTGTTTCACACTTTTCTTACATAAAGTAAGTAAAGTAAAGATCCCTTTTCACGCTTTTAGGCGCATCGGGCTTATGGGAAGAGCACCCATATTTGTACAGACCAATCGGCACTTGTTGGGTAATGTGATCAGAATTACGCCGGCTGTCTTTACTTCCCCAGGACATCCATTCTGGTTCCTATTTTAGGCTAGGTCGACCTGCAATGCCCCATACCACGATAAAATCCCATGCAACCAGCAGTGGGTTTTGATCACAGTACGTTGGAGTTATGAGTCAGACTCGCAACACCTAAGCCACGGACGCCACTTTTCTTACATGCATCTCATTAACTCTAAAATGTTACATTTTCAGCTGAAGGATGGTAACTGCATTCCACCTGTTGATGGAACAGAGCATCCATTGTTTGCCTGCATTTACCGATCATTTATTTACTTCCTGTCAAGCCAGCAGAATAGAACAATCTTCATGTTAGATCCAATATTGTATCTGAGTCAGGAAACTCCCAAACCGATGATTCCTTTAAGGATTGCTATAATTGGCCCTTCAAAGTCAGGAAAAACAACTTGTAAGTTTTTTACATGAAGATTTAATGCCATATGATTTACCAAATTTGTTGTGTGTTTGAGATTAATTCTTTAACTAGTAGATTTCTCATTAAGATCAGTTGTGTTTAATCCTTAACTCCTTAACTCTTTGTGTCACAGACACTTGTCACTTAACAACGATAGCTAAGTGGTGGTTGACGCACCAAGTCAGCCACTTAACAATCATAGGTAAGTGGTGGTTGATGCTCCAAGTCAGCCACTTGCCACTTAACAACCATAGCTAAGTGGTGGTTGACGCCCCAAGTCAGCCACTTGTCACTTAACAACGATAGCTAAGCTGTGGTTGATGCACCAAGTCAGCCACTTGTCACTTAACAACCATAGCTAAGCTGTGGTTGATGCACCAAGTCAGTCACTTGTCACTTAACAACCATAGCTAAGCTGTGGTTGATGCACCAAGTCAGCCACTTGCCACTTAACAACAATAGCTAAGCTGTGGTTGACGCCCCAAGTCAGTCACTTGTCACTTAACAACGATAGCTAAGCTGTGGTTGATGCACCAGTTCAGGGCCTGAATTGGACTTGATGAGACCCTGAGCTATAAAAAGCGCTGAGGCTGCCACTATTTTAAATCACACCAGCTAATGAAAAATATTAAAAATGTACATGCCTTTTACATATATGGATAATGGAAATATACTGCTGTATCATTTTTATTAAATGAAATAACAAAGAATATGATTACAAAATCACAGAAATTATATTATATAATCCTCTAACATGCTCTTAGTTACAACTGAAAACATTCTTTTCTTCATTTCTCAGCTGCAAAATCATTAAAAGATATGCTGGGTAAAATATTGCTTTCTGTATAAGATAAATGTGAAGTATATTAGAAGAAGATTGCATTTAAGTATTTTTTCAAAGTAAAAAGATGGAGAACAACTCAAACAATTAATAATAAACTACAAATGTTCATTAACTGGTGCCTGCACAGAATAGAGGGAATTAAATGGTATGATAGAATCACTAATGTTGAGCTTTGGAAGAGAACCAAACAAGTTCCCGTGGTGAAGAAAAGACAATGGCGTTGGATAGGAAATACATTGAGAAAACCTGAGATTAATATAACTAGAATGTCTTTGCACTGGAACCCACGGGAGCATAGAAATAAAGGAAGACCATAAAATACATGGAGAAGGGAGCTAGAGATTGAAGTTGGGGAGAACCTGGGGAGAGCTGCCCACCGTAGTGAAGGTCAGAATGGCTTGGCATGAGCTGGTTGAGGGCCTATGCCATACTGAAGGGATAGAAGAAGCAGAAGAAGTGTGAACTTGGGATACATTGCTTGGTTTAGTCTTCTTCTATGTTTTTTCATAAAAGGGTAGTTGGCATGTTGTGTTGTGTTGTTTACAGCTAGGCTACAATATCAGTGTCTTTTGGCCCAACACAGAAATCCCTTGTTAGTCACCTTTTTTGGGTATGCTAGTTAAAGAAATGAGTCCAGTCTTTTTTGCCCTAAAACAGGGCCCCAGAACCCACAGAGTGAGGGCAAATCTCATGATCACACAAATTAACAAATATAGAAGTTCCAGAGAAGCTGGAAGTGAAAAAATCAGCTGCCAAAATTAAAACAAAAAAAAAAACAGAAGTTAAATATTTGAGCCACTCAATAAACGTAGTATGCTTAAAAAAAATGACTGCAGGACAAGAAGAAGGCAGTTGAATTGTTATCTTATCACAGTCAGCATCACTGCACATCGGGCATTTCCTATGCATGCTCAGTCCTTTGATGCAGCAGCCATTCCAAGGTACCCCAACTGATGATTGTAATGAGGAACTGCTTAAAATGTCTTCTGTCTCCACCTGGAGGATGGCAAAGACATGCTTCACTATGCTTTACTCCCATGTCACGCAGTCCTGTTAGTGTCAGAGATTTGTCAGTATCCACTAGCCCAATCTGTACAACGTTGATATCTGCTATGTCCCTGCTTCTTCCCAAATGTGTTGGTGCATTTTTTGCCAGTTGGTCCGCTCGTTCATTACTTTACACGCCAGTATGCCCAGGTGTATAGATCCAGATGAGGGCGGTTAAGTTCAATTTCCTAATACTTTCTGCCCATTCACAGTGTATAATACCTGCTGTGATTTTTCTGTGCAAGAGAAAGAAAAGTCGATCATACAAATTGGAAAACAAAAGTTCTAGCAAGTAAAGGTGGCTTATTTGATATTGACCACATCATAACCAAGCAGTATTTGGTCTAGAAAAATATGGATCTAGCACTAAATGTATTACGTGAAAATAGATCCTGACCTTCACTTGCTAATTATTTCATGAAAGAAGCCACTGAGGTGCCAGACTTCTTTAGTATACTCAGACCGGATGTATTTCTTCTTCTTCTGCAATCAGCTTTTAAAGGGTGGTTGGCATGCAGTGTTGTGATTTGCAGATGGGCTGCAATATCTGCAGCTTTCTGCTCAAAACATCTGATTTATTCAAACCCCTAATTAATTGCCTCTTATGATATGCTTGTTATGTTGCAATAGGTCTGTTTTCTTCTCTCCCCCCCCCCCCCCCAGTGGGGCTGCAAAACCCACACTGGAAAGACCAAATGTAAAAAAAATGTACAAGAACGCATTATGCATTAGATGGTAAAATCCTGGCAAAACGTGCATCATTTGTGTTATTTGGGACATACAATTTTGATAGTCAAGACACTTATATATTTTCATTCTTTTATTTTCCAGTGGCCAAACGATTTGTACAAGATTATGGCGCTTTAAGGCTGTCCATAGGAGAAGCAATGCGCCACGTTTTAAGACAGCACTCACAGTCGGAGCTGGCCAAGCAGATCCAGTGGAATCTAATCCGTGGCAGGGTGGTGCCGGATGAGCTTCAGATTCAAGCTTTAGATGTGGCACTGCTGGACGTGCGATGCCAGACCAGAGGGTAATATTCAAATGTGTGGTCTTTACATTGTGATGATGTCTTTCTTATGTGATTATTTCTTGCTTTGCTTTGGAGGTCACAGCTGAAGAGTATTGTCTCTTTTCTCTGGGTCGTGTCAAGTGTGTTGGGAAAAGAACAGGCGGACAGATTGGCTGGCTCTGCACAACTTAGTGGAATATTTATGCCTGCTAAGGCAGATGTGGTTAAGCCTTTGTGGGAGCATGTGTACAGTTCGGAGGAGCAAATTGATCAGTCTGGTGGGAATGATGCAGCGAGGAGTAATGAGGGGATCTGGCCGGTACTCGAAGCTCAGAGGAAAGGCAAGACAGACATATAATCCAACTGCTGCTGGCAGCATTGGCATTGGAACTCTGCGCTGGCTGCTGAAGCTAGGGGACGGAATGCTTATGGGAATTCTCTGAGTGCTGTGGTGTTGGTTCGTGAATCAACTCACATGATAATGATGTATCTTCTCACATGATTTATCTTCACATATGATAATGATATGTCTGCTCACATGGTATATCTTCTTGCATGATAATGTTGTATTTTCAGATATGATAATAATGCATCTTCTCACATGACAGAGGTGAATCTTCTCACATGATAATGATTTTTTTTCTCTCATGATAATAATGTATCTTCTTACATGATAAGGATGTATTTTGTTACCTGATAATTATGTAACTTCTCACATGATAACGATGGATCTACTCATATGATAAGGATTTATCTTCTTACCTGATAATTATGTCACTTCTCACATGATAATGATGTATCTTCTGACATGTTAATTATATATTTTCTCCCTTGATAATGATGTATCTTCTCACATGATAAGGATGTATCTTCTTATGTGATAATGATGTCACTTCTGACATAATAACGATTATCTTCTTATATGATAATGAAATATCTTGTCATATGATAATGATGTATCTTCTCACATGATAATGGTGTATCTTCTTTTTGGGGGTGAGTGGTCTCGAGACATGGCATCCGCCTCGAGTGTTGGAGATCCCGGGTTCAGGCCGTGGTGAAGGCTGGGATTTTTTTCACGGGGACTTTTGGTCTCTGGGTCTCCTGGTCTCTGGGTCTCCTGGTCTCTGGGTCTCCTGGTCTGTGGGTCTCCTGGTCTCTGGGTCTCCTGGTCTCTGGGTCTCCTGGTCTCTGGGTCTCGTGGTCTCTGGGTCTCTGGGTCTCCTGGTCTCTGGGTCTCCTGGTCTCTGGGTCTCGTGGTCTCCTGGTCTCTGGGTCTTGTGGTCTCTGGGTCTCTGGGTCTCCTGGTCTCTGGGTCTCCTGGTCTCTGGGTCTCCTGGTCTCTGGGTCTCTTGGTCTCTGGGTCTCCTGGTCTCTGAGTCTCCTGGTCTCTGGGTCTCCTGATCTCTGGGTCTCCTGGTCTCTGGGTCTCCTGGTCTCTGGGTCTCCTGGTCTCTGGGTCTCGTGGTCTCTGGGTCTCTGGGTCTCCTGGTCTCTGGGTCTCCTGGTCTCTGGGTCTCCTGGTCTCTGGGTCTCCTGGTCTCTGGGTCTCCTGGTCTCCTGGTCTCTGGGTCTCCTGGTCTCTAGGTCTCCTGGTCTCTGGGTCTCCTGATCTCTGGGTCTCCTGGTCTCTGGGTCTCCTGGTCTCTGGGTCTCTGGGTCTCCTGGTCTCTGGGTCTCCTGGTCTCTGGGTCTCGTGGTCTCCTGGTCTCTGGGTCTCTGGGTCTCTGGGTCTCCTGGTCTCTGGGTCTCCTGGTCTCTGGGTCTCCTGGTCTCTGGGTCTCCTGGTCTCTGGGTCTCCTGGTCTCTGGGTCTCCTGGTCTCGTGGTCTCCTGGTCTCTGTGCTATCACAATGTCTGTATACTTTAACAGTATTCTTCAGATCATCATCCCAGTGATGTCTGGCCAAGACCTACACTATCCTTCAAAACATCATCCCAGTGATGTCTGGCCAAGACCTACACTATCCTTCAAAACATCATCCCAGTGATGTCTGGCCAAGACCTACACTATCCTTCAAAACATCATCCCAGTGATGTCTGGCCAAGACCTACACTATCCATCAAAACATCATCCCAGTGATGTCTGGCCAAGACCTACACTATCCATCAAAACATCATCCCAGTGATGTCTGGCCAAGACCTACACTATCCTTCAAAACATCATCCAAGTGATGTCTGGCCAAGACCTACACTATCCTTCAAAACATCATGCCAGTGATGTCTGGCCTACACTATCCTTCAAAACATCATCCCAGTGATGTCAGGCCAAGACCTCACTATCACCAGTGCTGTGTAATCTGCCCATATATTCATTTTCATTTCTCAAAACGTGTACCTCATCACAACTCAGATAATTCCTCTTGTGTTGTGTGGTGTTGAGGTGGGGTGTAAACATTGAGAGAGTGTTTATTTGTTTGTTTTTCATATAAAGGTATTTCATATTAAGGATGTTCCTATCAACTCTTGCTCCCCTTGTGCACTCTTTTTATAGACAGCTTCTCTTTCAATTTCCACTTGGTCTATACATTATTTTCGTAATGCCGGGATGCCGGGTTCGATCCCAGCTGCAGGCTATGCGCCTTGCGTTGGTTTTGACAGTGGTATCAAGAAGCTGACTGTCCAGAAAGCAGGGGCAAACTACTGGACGTAAATTTGCCTAGAGAAATCACACAACAGCCAGGGGCTGCTGGGTTTGGTTCTGCAACGTCCTGTAAAGGATACACAACTAACCTAACCTAAACATTATTTCCCATCGCGGTGTACTATCTGGTGGTAGGTAAGCAAAATAGGCATACCATTTCACTTGTTTTTCTTTTTAAAAATTTTTTTTAAAAAGCCCGGCACTGCCACTACTTTCATTTCTTTTTAAATTTCATTTCTTGTCTTCTTTCACCTAATTATCTTTTTCGTAAAGTCCATGCCATGTGGCGTTGGTAGTCATGTCTATCCACAACCTTCTGTCTTGTGTACTTTCAGTCAGCTCTGATACAGATTATCCTCCATACCATGATGTTAGACTGCCCAGCATCTTTTCTCTTTGTCTCCCTTCCATCAAACTTTCCTACCATCACTATGTACTCAAGTTTTCTCCTTCTCGTCACATGACCAAGGGATGTAGATTGCCTCTTTCTGATGTGGGCATTCAGTTCTCTTCGTGGGTCAGTTACTTTCAAGACATCCTCATTACTCTTTTTATCTGTCCATGGTATTCTCATCATTTGTCTATAAAACCACATCTCCACAGCTTCCAAATAAGTTTTAACTGATCTACCAATTGTCCATGATACACTTTCTTATATCAAGATATGATGCATATAGCTTTTAAGAATTCTCTTTCTCATCTCAATTTACAAGGAAAAATTGCATAACATTTTCTTCTTTTTGTAGTAGGCTGCTTTTGCTTGAGCTATTCTAGAGTTAACTTCTTTAGTACCTAATATAGTTTAATAAAGAAAGGATCTTTGAGCATGAAAGCTAATGAAAGTAGATCTGTATATACAACAATAAGAAAGAGACAAACACTGTTCTTTGGCCACATAATGAAAAGAGAGACATTGGAGAACATCGTGACAACTGGAAAGTTTAGTGGAAAAGGGGGTAGATGCAGATCAAGAGAGATGATGCTGAATGGGCTGAAATGATGGCATGGAGGGATATCATCAAGAGAGCTGTTCCAGGCAACCAGGGATCGTGATATATGGAGACGCACGAGCGCCTATGCAAGTTGGCAAGGCACATGATGATGATGTTTATGGGCATATGATGCTAGACTCATGTTTGTATAGACCTGATGGCTTTCAATGGGTGATGTGGTCAACATCTTTTCGTCCCAGGAATGACCTGGTACCTATTTTGGGCTGGGTCGACCTAGGAGCCAAGTTCAGTGTAGACAAAATGTGACTGGGTGTGGATTTCAGCCAATCCTTCAGGCTGGCAGGTGAACATCTAGCCACTAAGCCACCTCAGCTGACCTCTCCTCAATAGGTTGCAGCTACAACATGTATTTCGCTCTTAGTCTGTGTGTCTGCTTATTCTGTTTTCATTTGTACATATTCTCTGTAGGTATGTGCTTGATGGATACCCAATGACTTTGAAGCAAATTCAACTGATGACCGAATACAGCATTATTCCAGTGAGAGTCATCGAACTGGAGCTGAGCAGCAAAGAGGTCTTAACTCGAGGGGCCAAGGATAGGATAGTTCCACGGTAAGTGACATATGTCAGTGTTATGTCCATAAATTTGTGGGGAGGGGAGGGGAGTCTCTGGGGCTAAGTGGGGTCAAGCCATTTGCATTGAGCTCTGGCAGCCTGGAGTTCATTTCACGGCTGTGTCATTCAGTTTGCAAGTGTAATGGGGGATATTTTCACCCTGATTGGGAAGGTTGGGAGGGAAAGCCCCAAGTTAACAATAATACCGAGAGAAGCCAAATACTCGGATTAACCGAGGTTTTCAAGGTAGGGAATGACCACATGTTATCACGGGGAATCCAAGGAGAACGACCACAGGTCGCCACGTGGAACCCAAGAACAACCATGTGTTGCCATGTGGAACAAACACTGGGTATAAGTTCAGACCCCAGTCTGATGAGACAGTATGTGTTGACTGTCAGAACGAGAGGACGTGAGAGTGATCGTGTTAATGAGAACGGGAAACTGATTTTTACGAGAGGAAGACCAGATGACAACATCCGTCAAAGTCCAGCCAAGTTGTGTGAAACTCGATGCAATGACCAGATTCATCTATGCGGCGATGTGGAACTGAACACACAGAACTCTGGTTGGTGAATGTGTGAGAAGTCAACATGTTAGGGTCTGAACAAAGTGCAGAGTTCCAGTGGTACAGTCATCACCATCATGTGCCCTGCCAACTGGCGTAGGCGCTCATGCGTTTCCACAGATTACGATTCCTGGTTGCCTGGAACAGCTCTCTTGATAATATCCCTCCATGCCATCGTTTCAGCCCATCCAGCATCATCTCTCTTGGTCTGCCTCCGCTCCTATTTCCACTGATCTTTCCAGTTGTCACGATGTTCTCCAATGTCTCTCTTCTCATTATATGGCCAAAGAACAGTGTTTGTCTCTTTCTTATTGTTGTATATAGAGATCTACTTTCATTAGCTTCTTTCAAGCAATCGTTGTTTGTTACTCTGGCCATCCAAGGTATTCGTAACATTCGTCTTAGAAACCAAGCCTCTGTTGCTTCCCAATTCTTCCTAATTTGTTCACTGACATTCCAAGATTTGCTGCCATACAGCAGAACAGGTTCTATGTAACATTTTAACACCAGTTTGGAGGAGCAGATGGATCACCACAATCTGGTGAGATTGATGCAGAGGGGAGTGATGAGAGGTTCTGGCAGATGCTCGAGGCTCCGAGGAAAGGCAAGACAGACGTTTAATCAGAATGCTACTTTCACCATTAGTATCGGAGCTGTTCACTGGCTGCTGAAGATGGGGACGGAGTGCTTATGGGAATGCCCCGAGTGCTGTGATGTCGATTCTTGAATCAAATCAGTTAAATCAAATTAGACTGGAAAATATAACTTCAAAAGGCAGAAGAAGCTATGGTAGTACTAGGAAATCTGTATGGATTTAAACAACAAAATCTACCACTCACCATCATCTGCTGCCTTGCCGGCTGCCATAGACTGTCCGACGTCTCCACAACTTACCATCCTTTATAGTACTCATCATCTTATGTTCTGATACTCCAGGTCTTGACAGAAGGGGGTGCAAGAATTACTTGTTGTGTCTTCTTTTGTCTCTCTTTGCACAAATCTTTCCAGTGGTTACAACATGTTCCAGTTGACTTTTTCTCATAAGATGGCCAAAAAATTATGTCTCCTTCTAATGTTTGAGCCCTCAGCTCTTTCAAAACATCTTTTGCTGTCTGAAGAACTGAGAGCATTTTTTTTTCTATAGAACCACAACTTTGAGACTTTAAGAAAATGTTTGACTTGTTTATTAATTGTCCCTGATTTAGAAAACTACTACCAAACTAATAATGTTAAACTCTAAAGTTAAATTAGTTCTGCTGTATTGAGTAGATGCTTGGCGAATGCCTAAAACAGTTAATTGCTTGTCCTCTCTTAAACTTCTCATTCTTCTTCTTTGTTCATCGGCTGTAAGTTCTTATTTTCCCTATAATAGCGCCCTGGAATCCACACATCGACTCCCTTAAACAGTTCCTGGTTTTATGTTTTTCTTCATCATATCATGTCAAAAGAAAGCAGGTTGTCTATTGATGCAGCTAACTGGTGAGTCTTTGTGAACTAAACTAAACGGAGGATGAAATCATAAGAAAGTAAACCTTACTTACTTAGTCCCTCCTCTTTTACCTTGGGGTGTATAGGTTTGCCAGAGAGATAGCACGATGTCTCTATCATCAGTTTTCTTTCTGGAATTGTATTATTCCAGTCCTCTGTCAGAAGAAAGTAAACCTTACTTACTTACTTAGTCGCTCCTCTTCTACCCTTGGGTGTAGAGGTTTGCCAGAGAGATAGCTAGGCGTCTCTATCAGCAATTTCTTTTTGGCTTTGTTCCATTCCAGTCCTCTGTCAGAAGAAAGTAAACCTTACTTACTTAGTCGCTCCTCTTTTACCTTGGGGTGTAGAGGTTTGCCAGAGAGATTGCCAGACGCCTCTATCAGCAGTTTCCTTTCTGGCTTTGTTCCATTCCAGTACTCTGTCAGAAGAAAGTAAACCAATTCTTCTGTTGCCTTTCAGAGCCTCACCATTACATGACAGCTCTCAAATACTTGCTATAAAACTGTCCTGTTACCAAAGAGAAGTTCCCGCAGTTCGTGAATGGTATCAGAATGAGCACCAGAACTACAACATCGTGCCAGCTGACCAATCAAAATGGTGGGTTCTGGATGTAGTCAATGACATTGCAATTTCTAGCATCAAAAGAATTCAAGACTACGTCCACAGGACTTCAAAAGGTAACATTTTAAATTCTATGAACCCAAGTCACCAAAACTTTCAAACCCCATTTCTCTAGGCTTGTATGCAGAACATGCACTAAATGGATGCATGCATTCTTCTTCTTCTTCTTCTACTTCTACTTCTTCTTCTTCTTCTTCTTCTTCTTCTTCTTCTTCTTCTTCTTCTTCTTCTTCTTCTTCTTCTTCTTCTTCTTCTTCTTCTTCTTCTTCTTCTTCTTCTTCTTCCTCTTTTTCTGCTTCTTCTTCTTCTGCTGCTGCCGCTTCTAGTCAGTTGTGTATCCTTTACAGGACATGTATAACCAACCCAACATTTTTTGGCTGTTGTGGTTTTTCTAGGCAATTTTTATGCTCAGTAGTTTGCCATTGCTTTATGAATATTCTTCTGTATCAGTCCTTTAAAGGACCAATAATATTTTGTGTTGTGGTTTACAGCTATGCTGCAAAATCCGTGTTTCCTAACCTAACACAACCAATCTCCACAAACCCCTATTTAGTCACTTATTATAGGATTGTCGGGGGGATAACAAAATATTTCATCGCAACTAAAGGCAGCTGATGTCTGGCACCATACGCTTGATGTGCTAATGTTGTCTTCTTCTTAGGGTTTTTCAGCTGGAAACTGCAGCGGGAAGTTCTGGTTGTTCATCCATTCCTGGTCTTTGATCCAGAACTTGACATTTGCAGGTACATCCAATGTATAAACTGGGCTTATCTGCACACAGACGGTTGTTTCCTTGCCTCTCAGGCAGATGCACTTGGTAAATGGCCCTGATTAGTTGCCTCCTATAACATGATTCTTAGGGAGAGGGCATTGGCTCTCTTCTTGTTTTTTTTCTTCATTGTGGAGCCATGGAACCCCCATGTGGAGCTTATGTTGTAGGAATGGCTTATGTTATGGGAATGGCTTATGTTGTAGGAAGGGCTTATGTTGTGGGAATGGCTTATGTTGTAGGAAGGGCTTATGTTGTGGGAAGGGCTTATGTTGTGGGAGGGACTTATGTTGTGGGAAGGGCTTATGTTGTGGGAAGGGACTATGTTGTGGGAAGGGCTTATGTTGTGGGAAGGGACTATTTTGTAGGAAGGGCTTATGTTGTGGGAGGGGCTTATGTTGTGGGAGGGGCTTATGTTGTGGGAGGGGCTTATGTTGTGGAAAGGGCATATGTTGTGGGAGGGGCTTATGTTATGAGAAGGGACTATGTTGTGGGAAAGGCTTATGTTGTGGGAATGGCTTATGTTGTGGGAAGGGCTTATGTTGTGGGAAGGGCTTATGTTGTGGGAAGGGCTTATGTTGTAGGAAGGGCTTAGGCTGTGGGAAGAGCTTATGTTGTGGGAAGGGCTTATGTGGTAGGAAGGGCTTAGGTTGTGGGAAGGGATTATGTTGTGGGCAGGGATTATGTTGTGGGAAGGGCTTAGGTTGTGGGAAGGGCTTAGGTTGTGGGAAGGGCTTAGGTTGTGGGAAGAGCTTTGTTGGGGGAAAGGTTTATTTTTTGAGAATGGCTTATGTTTTGAGAATGGCTTATGTTGTGGGAAGGGCTTATGTGGTGGAAATAGCTTATGTTGTGGGAAGGTCTTATGTTGTTGAAAGGGCTTATTTTGTGGGAAGGGCTTAGTTTGTGGGAAGGGCTTATGTTGTGGGAAGGGCTTTTGTTGTAGAAAGATTCCTTTACTGTTTTGTTGTCTTATAAATGACATTGTGTGATTACAGGAAGATCAGCAGGAATTTATGGTCTATGTATCACACCTAAGGAATATCGCGCACGTCTAGGAGAATATGAGGAGTACTGTCCTGTCAGCCTAGCTGATAAAGATGAACTCATCGACTGCTCATTTAATCAGACTCTAGAGTATGCAGCAGAGTACAAGGGTGAGGACATCACGTATAGCCAGATTTTTTGGTTGTTTGTTTTTGTTTAATGTTATTTTAACATGTGCCGGTAACCTATGCCAATTGTAACATGTGCCGGTAACCTATGCCAATTGTAACATGTGCCGGTAACCTATGCCAATTGTAACATGTGCTGGTAACCGATGCCAATTGTAACATGTGCCGGTAACCTATGCCAATTGTAACATGTGCCGGTAACCTATGCCAATTGTAACATGTGCTGGTAACCTATGCCAGTTGTAACATGTGCCGGTAACCTATGCCATTTGTAACATATACCAGTGACAGTTGGAGAACCACTAGAGACATAGAGAGAAAAATTAAAATGCATCTGAAAACAAATGCCTGAGTAAAATGTTGAACTTGAAATGTCATGAATTCAAGGTAAGATGGATGAAGAAATAAGAGAAATGTCTGAGCAACAACTGGTAACAACATCTTTAAGACAAAGAAGTTGGTGCTATATTGGACACATCCTGAGAAGAAATGAGCAGAGAATCATCAAACAGACACTCAAATGGGAAATGAAGGGATTGAAGAAGCAAGGACGTCCACAAAAACACTAAATAACGGATGTTGATGAGACAAGCCAAAAGTGCTGCACTTGATTCCATAGATGATATCAAAAAGGCGGCACAGTAAAGAACAAAATGGAACAATAGACTGTGAGCCCACACAGTCACACCTCATCTCTATGCCGACCCAGGGTCCTCTGGAAAGACAGCATCTGACAGACCCTACCTGACAGAGGACTGGAATGGAACAAAGTTGTAAAGAAAGCTGTTGATAGAGAAGTCTGGCAAACCTCTACACTTCAGGGTAAAAAAAGAGCAACTTAGTCAGGCTAAAGGAGCTGAGAAAAAAAAGATCATAATTAAAAACAAAAACAAATAAATATTGTAATTGCCACTCACACAGAAATCTAAATAAATGTGGTAAGTTTGAAACAAGTCAGTCTGTAATGCTGTCCTCTGCTCTATGTTTTATGTAACATCCGGTTAAGACCTGTCTACACTTCTACATGGTTGTCTTGGAAACAGTTTCTGTACCAGTGGCCTGCAAATGTCAGATAGGATCAACTTTTCCTTTGTAGTCAGAGTATATCTGCTTGAGAGACAGTGAACCAAAAGTCTGCACATAATAAACCAGATTTCAAAAACAGACTGACAGGCAACATTCCCGTTATGAAATAATAATAACAAAGTCCAGATAGAGATCTTTTTCTTGTTAACATTTACTGGCTGTAAACATCAACGGAAAGTTATGGTTGTTAATTCATTTTTTAACTTTAGTCTTGTTCCAGACATTGGGTTTTGCATGCACATCCATTTTACAGATGCAGCTTATTGGTATGGGTTTATCTGGGTGAAGATTTGACATCACAGCATTCAGGATAAGCCCTTAATAGCTCCATCTCCCTTCTCAGCAGCCAGCGAGTGTCTTCATATTGGTTAACTACTCATTTTGCGTGTCCACTAAGTCTCAAATGGTACCCAGAGTCACTGTATTTGTATGCAGACTGTTGGTTCCTCGCCTCTCAGGCAGAAGCATTCCTACTTCAAAAGACAAATAGAGGTAATTAACCAGGGATTTTCTGCAAGAGAATGCAGAAAAAGATTTAAAATTGAAAGCATTAGGAATGTTGAATGTTGAATTAAGAATCGACATCACAGCACTTGGGACACTCCCCTAAGTGCTCAGTCCCCATCTTCAGCAGCGAACAAAGAGATCTAAATCCGATGGCACCAGTAACCGTCTGATTGTGTGTCAGTCTCATTCTTCCCCTGAGTGTTGAGCGTCAGCCAGATCCCTTGGTAACTCTCCGCAGCGCCATTCTCCTCAGATCATAATGACCTATCTGTGCGTCTTCACTGTTTACCCATTCTCAGAGAGCCCTCACAATATCTAGCTTTTGAGACACCAGTTCACCACCAAATTGAATTTACTTTATGCCGTTAGTCGCTAGTCAAGTTTCTAATATAACTGCAGGTGGGTTTCCCCCATAGCTCTCCTTTCCTGTACCAGCAGAAATCACACAGAATGTCCTCACTGACCCATTGGAAAACTAGGGACAAATTTGTCAGCCCCAGCAAAATCTAGAAGCTTGCACATGCAACATTTCTGTTTCTTCTGTCCTTTATCGCCCACTAGCAGCTTCTGTGGCTAAGGCGTTGCGAGTCTGACTCGTAATACCAATGTACCACGATCGAAACCCACTGCTGGCTGCAATGATTTTTATCATGGAATGGGGTCTTGCGGTCAACCCAGCCTAAAATGGGTACCAGGAAAAGTAAAGACGGCCGGCGTAATGCTGACCACATTACCCACCGAGTGCTGATAGTCTGTAAAAATATGGGCGCTGTTCCCATATGCCCGATACGCCTAAAGGCGTGAAAAAGGTATCTTGACTTCTTCACTTCCTGTACCAGCAGAAATCACACAGTGTGTCCCTCACTGCCCTATTTGAGAACTAGTGAACAATTTGTCAGCCTCAGCAAAGTCTTGAAGCTCCACATGCAGCATTTCTTTTTTCTTCTGTACTTTATTGCCCACCGCAGCAGAGGCCCCCAGCCAACTAAGATCAAGCCGTCCTGTCCTTTGCTATCATATGCAGTTCACCCCATGTTTGCTCCACCTTTTTAACTAGTTCCCTGCATTCCGCATTTACTTAAGCAGAATGTTTATATTAAATTCTATTACAATGTCTAAAACAGGGCGCTACTACAAAATGGCAGGGCCAGAAGAATTAGAAAAGTTCTTGGAAGACCCAGATAAATATGTCCCACCTTTTGCCCCTCGTCAACTACCAAATCGTGACTATTTGCCACACAGAGCAACAAAAGAGGAACTGGAAGCAAAAGAGGCTGAAATTCTTGGCTATTGTCCAGTAACATACCTCGACGGTAATTTGAGGTAGGGAGCATCAGTTATTTTTTGGATGTCATCATTTGTGACACTCAGTTTAGTTAGTCAGTTAAGTTTAGTTAGTTCGTTTAGGTTCGTTAGTTAGTTAGGTATTATAGTTTAGTTAGTTAGTTAGCTAGTTATTTATCTTTAGTTTAAGTTAGTTGAGTTTAATTAGTTAGTTAGTTAGTTAGTTAGTTAGTTCGTTCGTTAGTTAGTTTAGTTAGTTAGTTTAGTTAGATTTCGTTCGTTAGTTAGTTGTTAGTTAGTTCGTTCGTTAGTTATTTAGTTAGTTTATTAGTTCGTTAGTTCGTTATGTTATTTAGTTAAGTTAGTTAGTTCTGTTAGTTTAGTTAGTGTAGTTCGGTAGTTTAGTTCTTTTAAGTGTATTTTCGTTAGTTAGTTAGGTGTTAGTTAGTTAGTTTAGGTTAGGTAGTTAGTTTAGTTAGTTATTTTAGTTAGTTAAGTAGTAGTTAGTTAGTTAGGTTAGTGTTAGTTAGTTAGTTTAGTTATTTCGTTTAGTTAGTTAGTTAGGTAGTTAGGTAGTTTAGTTATTTAGATTCATTTAATTAGGTTAGTTAGTTAGTTAGTTAGGTATATGTAGTTAGTTAGTTAGTTAGTTAGTTAGTTAATTATTTGTTAGTTAGTTAGTTAGTTAGTTAGTTAGTTAGTTAGTTTAGTTAGTTAGTTAGTTAGTTAGTTTTTAAGTTGTTAGTTTTTTTGTTAGTTTAGTTAGGTATTAGTTAGTTTAGTTTATTTTTTTTTTTTTTTTTTTTGTTTTTTTTTTAGTTGAAAAAGGGTTCTTATTAGGTAGTTAGTTAGGTAGTTTAGTTAGGTAGTTAGTTTAGGTAGTTTAGTTATGTAGTTAATTAGGTAATTAGTTAGGTAGTTTAGTTAGGTAGTTAGTTTAGGTGGTTAGGTCAGCAGCTAGTTAGTTAGTTAGTTATGTAGTAGTTAGTTTAGTTAGTTAGTTAGTTAGTTTAGTTAGTTAGTTAGTTAGTTAGTTAGTTAGTTAGTTAGGTTTAGTTAGTTAGTTAGTTAGTTAGTTAGTTAGTTAGTTAGTTAGTTTAGTTATTAGTTAGTTAGTTAGTTAGCTAATTAGTTAGTTAGTTAGTTAGTTATTATTTAGTTAGTTAGTTAGTTAGTTAGTTTAGTTAGTTAGTTTAGTTTAGTTAGTTAGGTAGTTAGTTAGGTAGTTAGTTAGGTAGTTAGTTAGGTAGTTAGTGTAGGTAGTTAGTTAGGTAGTTAGTTAGTAGTATTTATTAGTGTAGGTAGGTAGTTAGTTAGTTAGTTAGTAGTTAGTTAGTTAGTTGGTAGGTAGGTAGGTAGGTATGTATTTAGGTAGTTAGTTAGTTAGTTAGTTAGTTAGTTGTTAGTTTTTTTTTTGGTTTTTTAGTTAGTTTAGTTTAGTAGGTTAGTTAGTTAGTTATTTAGTTCGTAGTTAGTTAATTTAGTTACTTAGTTAGTTAGTAGTTAGGTAGTTAGTTAGTTAGTTAGTTAGTTAGTTAGTTAGTTAGTTAGGTAGTTAGCTGTTTAGTTTGGTTAGGTAGTTGGTTACTAAGCTAGTTTAGTTAGTTAGTTGTTAGTGGCGTTCGGCTAGCTAACTAGCTAGTATAGCTGTGTTAGTTAGTTAGTTAGTTAGGTTAGTGTAGTTATTTAGTTATTAGTTAGTTAGTTAGTTAGTAGTTAGTTAGTTAGTTAGTTAGTAGTTAGTTAGTAGTTAGTTAGTTAGTTAGTTAGTTAGTTATTAGTTAGTTAGTTAGTTAGTTAGTTAGTTTAGTTTAGTGTAGTTAGTTAGTAGTTAGTTAGTTAGTTAGTTATAGTTAGTAGTAGTTAGTTAGTTCGTTCGTTAGTTAGTTAGTTAGTAGTTAGTTAGTTTAGTTAGTTTAGTTAGTTAGTTATTAGTAGTTAGTTTAGTTTAGTTAGTTTAGTTAGTAGTTAGTTATTAGTTAGTTAGTTAGTTATTTGTTAGTTAGTTAGTTAGTTAGTATGTAGTTAGTTAGTAGGTAGTTCGGTAGTTAGGTTAGTTAGTTAGTTCGTTTAGTTAGTTAGTAGTTCGTTAGTTAGTTAGTTAG